CGAAGAGGACTCCCTCTTGAGATGGTTCGTCAATTTGGATGACGCCATAAGGGCGCGTCGCATCGACGACGGGGATATGCAAGTTGCATTTGCCCAATCAAATCTGGCAGGACGTACCAAGACTTGGGCACTGGGGCTCAAGCTGCACGACCCATACGCGTTTGGGTCGTTGGAAGTCTTCAAGTCGCGGCTCAGACAAACGTTTGAACCGCCTAGAGCTGAGTTCAGAGCTCGAACCGAACTCTTGAAGCTCAAGCAAGGTAAGCGTGATGTGCACGCTTACGCTCAACATATACGACATCTCACGAGTTGTATAAGTTCCAATCCGGTGGATGAACACACGTTGGTTTCGGTGTTCATGCAGGGTCTTGCGGATGGTCCCGTCAAGACTCACCTGTTCCGGCTTGAACTAGATTCACTAGAACAAGCCATTTCCATTGCGGATCAGGAAGAATTCAGTCTGAGACAGGCTCGCGCCAGCTCGACATCATATCGTCAACCGAGACGATATGACAACGGAGGTCCAGAGCCGATGGAACTCTGTTATGTAGAGAGCGAGAAGGCTCGCTCTACAGACTACAAGAAGTTGCAGAGATGCAACAGATGTCAAAAGACAGGACACTACGCTTACGAGTGTAGTGCCCCTCGTCCAGTGTCTCGCAACACTGGGCGTAGTGACCGTCCACCCATGAGAAAGGGGCAGGGCCGCGGGTCCGCTGTTGGTGCAAAGACGCAACAATGGGATGGACCGTCAAAAAACGGACAGGATCAGTAGGTGCGGAGCACCCTACTGGTCCAGCAACGTCAAGAGAATTTGTAGGCCTCTTGATGAAGGTTGCTCTCAACACACAAACATTGTGCGTTGCTGCTCTAGGTAATGAGATCTCACTCATTACCTAAAAACTCAAAGTGACGAATCAGTTGTCCCTTCCAACTCTAGTCGATTGTGGGGCGTCTAACAATCTTGTGCGACGCCAATTGCCAGAAGATGGTCACTTTTACTTCAGTGAATGTGACACACCTTTTACGAGGATGACGGTACGTCTTGCGACAGGCGCATCTGTAACCGTCATGAAGCGTATAGTGAATTTCCACTATACGCTAGAAGATACCCAATATGACGATGACTTTATCGTATTGGATTTGGATGACAAAATTGATGTCATCCTTGGAATACCGTGGCTCAGAAGGTACGAACCACGAGTAAACTAGCAACATCGAACAGTAACGATGCCTGCCGCTTGTTCATCAGATGGCCATCTGATGAACGTTTTGGAGACGTCCACACGCGTGTGGATGTACTACGAGTGAGTGCGATGGCCTCACTTGTGGTACGGTCGTTAGTACGACTGCACAAAACCTTAGTACCAAACGGTTACACTTCGGAGCAAAGTTCCGGCGGCTGTGAGGAAACACAGGCTGCGCCGAAGGTCCACCACTCGAATAAGTCGGGTGGACTGGGACAAAGATGTATCCCTAGAGGGGAACATCTAGAAGAGAAACAATCGATCGCTCAGGTTAAGCGAAACGATAATCCTAGATCGACTGGAGAGTCTTTCGTAGAGGATCTCGCTGTGGTTGCGCAACCCCAGCTAGAGGAAGTAAAGGGAATAAGTCCCAAGATTACAAATACGGCGGAAATAAGTTCCCCGAAACCCGCGGGAATAAGTCCCCGGGAAGACGAAGGAATAAGTCCTTCGAAGCCTGAGGGAATAAGTCCCCAGGAAATGACAGAGACATTGAATGTCATAGTCAATAACGGATCATGTGTAGGCGCTTATACACTTGATCTGATTGCGCCTCCGAAGTTAACTTCGGAGATCACTCAGTTGCCAACGCTCGAACATAAAAGATTCTTGCGTGATCTGCGTAGTGGCAAAGTCAAGCAGATCTGCATACTCGTCGCTGAAGACGAGTATGTAACCGACATAAGGTCAGCAACAGTGTTTACTGAGAACGAGAGAGTTCTCAGTAGTTCATCTATGGACGAGAGTGTCCTAGATGAAAAGACACGAATTGAGCGATATGAGTCCCAATCATGGGAATCGCTCAAGGAAAATCCTCTCTATGAAGATTTGGTTGAATTCAAGGATGTATTCCCTGAAACTGTTCCGTGCGAATTACCGAAGGATAAAGGTATTCGACACGAAGTCGAGCTTAAACCAGGCTCGAAGTACTGTGTCATGAAGCAGTGGCCACTGCCTCGTGAACAAGTACTTGCGATCGACAAGTTCTTTGCCGATCGTTTAGCAGCGGGCCATGTGAGGGAATCAACTTCCCCACATAGCTCTCCGACCTTCTGTGTGCGAAAAGCAACAGGAGGGTGGCGGATAGTGCACGCGTTTAACAAATTGAACGCTGCAACGGTACCGGCTCAGACGCCGATACCGAGGAAGGACGTAATCATTGATGGTATGTCAAAGAGTACCATCTTTTCGTCCATGGATTTGATGGATGGCTTCTATCAAATCCTAATGCGGGAACGGGATATACCCTATACCGCAGTTAGCACGCCTAGCGGCATGCTCTGGGAATGGCTAGTAATGCCACAAGGGCTCAGTAATGCCCCTGCCACGTTCAACAGGTGTGTATCACATCTGTTGAGGCCAGTACGAGAATTCGCGCCGAGTTATTTCGATGACGTATTCATCCATAGTCGAGCTATGGATGGAAAGTCGGACGTTGAGGTTCACAGGTACCACGTCCGACAGGTTCTTACAATCATGCGAAAGCATCAATTGTATGCAAACCTCAAGAAGTGTATATTTGCAGCAAGCGAAATACCACTTCTTGGGTGCATCGTTGGTAAGAACGGTGTACGTCCTGATCCCGAAAAGATCAAGGCGATCACCGACTGGCCTGTGCCGGTTGATGTCAAAGGTCTTCGAAAATTCCTTGGGCTAGCGGCGTATTTGCATAAGTATTCACGCAATTACGCCGAGATGACTGTGCACCTCTCTCGTTTGTTGAAAAAGAACGAGAGGTGGTTATGGAACGCTGAATGTCAGCGCTCCTTTGATGGTATCAAGCAGAGCTTGATACAATCCCCAGTCCTAGCAATAGCCGATCAGGACAGGCCATTTCATGTGGTCTGTGATGCCAGCGATTTCGCAATCGGCTGTGCATTAATGCAGTACGACCTTGAAGGCGTTGAACGCGTCGTCTGCTATCAGTCGCGTCAGCTGCAACCAGCTGAGCGGAACTATCCAGTGCATGACAAGGAACTCCTTGCCATGAAGTATGCACTCGCGAAGTTCAGAGTCTATCTATTAGGAGATAGACCCTTCATTGTTTACACTGACCATGCGTCATTACGCACGGCAGTGAACAGCCCGCACCTTTCACAACGAATGGCGCGGTGGTTGTCATTCTTTGCGGAATACAACTTTACGGTCGAGTACAAACCAGGACGACTTAATGTCGTCGCTGATGCACTCTCACGTCGTCCCGACTTTGAAACAGTCGCGAAACCCAACAGTGAGACAGTCACTGTTGCGGTTATGACGTCCTCAGTCCCATCTACAACGTTGTATGATGATGTGAGGCGGGCATACGCCCAAGATGGTGAGATAGTGAAGTTGTTGACACATCTCTCCCAACCATCTCGAGAATCGTTGAAACGATTGTCGTCTGCGTATCGATCTGCATCAGATCGATACACTACTCGCAACGGTTTACTGTATTATACAGCCGTTTCTGGTGACACACCACGTGTTGTCATTCCAGATGATACTGATCTGCGTTTGCGGATCATGTTCGAGTATCACGATGCTCCTATAGGAGGACATCGTGGCCGGGAGAAAACATATCTCACGGTGAGTCGAGACTTTTACTGGCCCCGCCAGTATCAGTTTGTGCGAAAGTATGTTCGCGCATGCGAAGTCTGTCAACGAGTGAAGTCAAGTCCTTCACTGCGTGCACCTTTACAGCCTCTACCAGTTCCGGCTGAGTGCTGGGAATCCATCTCAATGGATTTCGTCTTCGGGTTACCCAAAGACGCACGCGGGAATACGGGTATTCTCGTATTTGTTGACAGATTCAGCAAAATGGTACACCTTGTGGCTGTACCAGAGTCAATCACAGCAAGTGGCTGTGCTTGTGTCTTTATCGACACCATCTTCCGACTTCATGGGTTGCCCCGTGAACTCGTATCAGACAGAGATCCACGCTTCACTGCTGATTTCTGGCGTTCCGTGTTCAAATCACTCGGAACGCGCTTGAAGATGTCGACATCTGATCATCCAGAGTCAGATGGTCAGACGGAACGTGCCAATCGTGTCCTAGAAGAGATACTTCGAGGATACGTACACTCCTTTAAGAGTTGGAGTGAGTTTTTGCCCATGGTAGAGTTTGCCATTAACAACTCGGTGCATGCGTCCACGATACATAAACCGTTTTATGTGAATGGCTTGCGCCATCCGCGTGTACCCACCTTACTAGAGTGTAACTCTGGTTTAAGGGGGGAGGGACTCGCGCGAGCAAAAACCGATTTGGTTCACGCTCATCACGCTCTGACGAAGAGGTCATTGCGTTTGACGCCGATATCGATAACATCGATATCGAAGAAGATGATGCCAGTGAGAGTGCGGAAGCCCTCACTGAAGAAAAGATTGATGTTGCTGCAGTGCACTCTCGGCGCACTGAAGCTAACGAGTCATCAGATGAGTTTATACTGGCTCGTGAAACGCTAGTCCGTGTTATGCAAGACTCCATCGCCGAAGCGGTGGATAAGCAAAAGCAAAATGCTGACAAGAATGGAAGGGCAAACACTCTTTTATTTAATAAAGGTGACTTAGTCCTACTGTCTACGGTTAATCTACCAAAGCATGTAGTGACTAACTTGGGTAGCAGTAAACTACTACCCAAGTACATCGGCCCATTTCGTGTATTGCACCGCCTAGGCAATGCATACACGATCGAGTTACCACGTAAGATGCGAACGCATCCCACTTTTTACGTTGGTCGGCTTAAGCCGTACCATCAGTACGCTGCTTCTTCCGATGAAGAACGCCCTTGAGCTCAAGCATCTCACAGAGGGCCTTGTGCTCCCGATGGTGGATATCGACAAGGGTCTAAAGAGCAGTTATCTGAGCCCGAGACCGGTCAACATCCCCACGAGCTACCTTTCTCGTCGCGCAGAGACGTCAGAGCTCTCTCGTTCTCAAGCTGAACAAAAGCATACTCAGCTCGATGCTTCAAAAAAGTGTCCGCCAGTTGGAGACGCCTTCCCCGCTCATGTTCGAGATCGCCGCGTAACGCAAGAGTTACGCGATCAAAGAGGATCTCGGGGACACACGCTCTCCCGCGATAGTTTAAGAAGTGTTTTCCCTCCTCCTCCGTCTCCATTAGAGGACTCTCGCGGTGGCCAGTGCTATCTGATTGAGCGGCTGTTGAACCACCGCGATGTAAACGGACGTCGGACAAGTTACCTCGTCCGGTGGCGCGTTTATCCTCCGTCCTGGGATACTTGGGAGCCCCGCTCCCAACTGATGATTGACGTACTGGGTCTGGTTGAGCATTACGACGCGGCACATCCTGTGCCGAAGAAGGACCGCCGGAGCAAGTCTTCCCGGCACGGTCGTAAAGACATTTCAGGTCGTCAATCCCTTCGTACATCTCACTAGAGATATTAAAGCGCCACCACGGGCTAGTAAGGAGGTAAGCCTTCTTAGGTGGGCGCGCAGAGTTGTTCACACAACATGGGCACGAGTCTCCCCAAGAGAGTCAGGGTAATCCTTTCTCCCTTGACAGACGATGCAGCTTATAGCGTGCACCTGTCGGGGTTCTTTCTCAAACTTATCACGAGCTTTGATGAGTTTGTCGTTCCAACGTCACGACCTACATCCTCAAGGCCATAGATGTAAGCGTTCCACGCTTGAAGCAGTGAGGGACCATCATGTTTGTGATTCCCACTGTACCATCGATGCTTAAAGAAAGCATCGATGAAGCACTCATTCTAAGCGCGCTAGTCTTTCGCACTGGGGTCAAGGTGATGGATCCTTGACGAATCGAACAATCGTGTTCGATAACGATCGCTCGTCGTCGCCGACAAGTGATCCATGACGGATTTAGGAGGCATCCATGCCTTCTTCTCGGGAGCGAGACGCAACACACTGCTGTCCCGCTCTTCTTGCAACGTGCCGACAGAAGTACTGGCACATCGTTGCGAAGTGGCGTCCATTGGAGAACCGACACCACTATGAGCGCCCGAATCTTGCGACCTCGAGCGCCTTCGCTTCGGCGATGGTTCATCGGATTCATCAGATGAACCAAAGATGCTACGACGCATAGCATCATCCATGCCACGCTTGGCAGGCGGCTTGGATTCGATCGACGTCGATACAGATCCATCTTCCGTATCGGGAGAGTATGAGACACCGAGCTCGTACTCTGTGAAGACATGAGTGTCTTCATGACGAGCGCCTGCATCACCAGGTGACACAGGCTGAGTCGCTTCAGCAACTGATGACACATCAGTTGCAGCAATTTCTGCTTCGGCGTCCGCACAGAGACGTGCGGGCGCGCTCTCGGCGGCCTTGCTCGCGCACCGCATGGGCTTGTTCACCATGCGATGAACTGTTGGAAAGTGGACTCGGACCAACAAGTACAAACCCTGTCTCAAATGATTTGGGACGAGTATCCATTTAGTCAATCAGTCACTAAAGTGACTTATGGTTAGGGGGGGGTGATGTAACGGGGTGAATCGTTACATAACAATTTATAAGAAATTGTTAATAGAATATAACTATAAGAGTTATTTTCTTAGAATATTGTCATAAGGACAAATATTCTGTAGCACTTACGAGTAGTTCCTAATTGGTTGATATAGGCCATTATATCAACCAACGAAGACACGCCACGACAGACGCACGCCATGAGTGGTGAGCAGATAGTTGAAATGCACATTTGTATTCAGACATAGTTAGATGAGGATAAACAGTGGTTTATTAACAGACATTAACTATTATAAATACAGTTCTACTTTTTAATTTAACCAAGTACTCGCTTCTTCTTACCTTCTTCCTCTGCACGTACGAGTGTACGTGAGGTTACGCGGCACCGCCTTATTCTGTCATCAGAATAAGTAGCTTGTACTGTCATCAGTACAAGCTTCAGGGTGCCCCGTTTCAGTATGAGCAATTCCTTGTTTTGGAATGGACGCTCACGTTTCTGTCTAACTACCTGTACTCGACAAGAGGGACTGGGAGTGGCCTGTGACTTCAAGTATTGTGCGACCTACTGTTTGATGAGTGACGATTGATGGGGTTGGCAGGAGTCATGACGGTTAAAGATGTTTTCCGTGAAAACGTTCCTCCTCGTGCTACAAGCACTTTGCCCATGGTATACATATGCAAGAGATAAACCAGAAATCTCACTTGGATATTTACTTCTTGTTACGCGCTTCCTCGCGATCATTGCCAAGGTGTGCTTCCTGCAGAAGCACTGAAGATGTTAGCTTAGAAGCCCAAAGCTTTGGCCTACTACATCACGTTAACAAGAATTGACGTTTAAGTTAAAACATGAGCGGAGTCAAAAGCGGTATGGGAGGTGCAGCAAGAGGAGGTGGAGCTGCAAATAATCCGCCGGTTGTCCCAATGCATGGGAGCAAGAAACCGCCTCGTTTTGAAGAAACATTTGAGCTGTATCAAGAGGAAATGGAAATTTACCTCGGAGAACGCGATGGTTGGGATGTCGTTGTCAAACTGAGACACGACATGCTTTGGACCAAACACTGCAGACACTTTTCGACAATATAGATCGGCTCGCTCGTACTACGATCCTACGGGGATTGCGCGGATGTCAGAACGACGATGCAAAAACTGTGCTCGATGACCGAAGCAGCAGGAATGTGGGCGTCACTCGTTTCATATTAGACTCAGCGCGACTCCTCGTATGCGGTTATGTTGCGTCGACAATTGTATTAGCATTCACACAGTGTAACGGGGAACCCTTTGTTTGGGGTACCGCGAAACTTCACGTACACTAGTACGTGTAGAGGGAGATAATTTTCTCAAACAGCTCGTTTGAGTAAAGGGTAAACAGAGATTTATATTTAATAAAGTTAAGCTATCTGTATGACTTTAATCTTTATATAACTATTAAATTACGTCGTCATATGACGACAACCTGCTCACCACTTATTGCGCGCGTCTAGCAGCGATTGGTGGTAATCTTTGGTCGATATGTCTTAAATTCTGAAAGGGGATGATATTCCTTCAATGTTATCCATCTCGGATATTATTGGTAAAATATTGTCATGCTCGACAATCTTCCTATTAGCACCGTTTGGTGTCAATATCATGTAAAGGGCTACCCCGTTACATCACCCCTTTCTTTACCATCAATCATCCGTTGATTGAATAGAATTGATCAGGACAGGGTGACCACCGTTGAATCACTCTGGGAAGGGTAGCACTTGTTGGTCAAATTCCACTCATTTGCCAATCCAACGCATAGTTTCGAAATCCAAGCGAGTTGCTACTGCAGCAGCAAGAAAGGCGGCTGCACGCATGCGTGCAACCGGAGATAATCCTCGTACGCCTCAGCAGCAGGTAATGCTTCACCTGTTGTTGTGAACAGTCCACGTGGTGAGTCACCACGTGCAACAGATACATCTGCTGCGTCTGCAGTGGGTACCGCGAATCGTAATGTAGATGAGTCTAAAATAGAGCTCATCTATTCTGGTGAGTTGGATGATGTATCCGACTAGAAGGCGACACCTCACGCCTCTGGATCATCCGGGGCGGACACTGCACGAGCAAGGTTGATTGGCTCTGATGAACGTGGCGGCGTCATGCTCTAGATCTTCGGACCGAGCGATTGTTCCGATAGATCCTCGCCTCAAGCAAGTCCATTCAAGAATAGGACGGGTGGTGATGGTGATGGTGCAGGGGTCGATCTTTCACTGGGGTCAGTGCGGGCTCGTGCTGACACCATGAAAAAGGCCAGGGACAGCAATGTCCTTCGCCATGCTCCTCAAGTGGAGTCTCCTTGGATGCCATCATCCAAAGACTTGGACCGGTCGGCCGGCATGACTACCAAACGGGATTGATACCCTTTGTTCAACTGTAGAAGGATCTGTCATCTTAACACCAGCACGGAAACCATCCATGATGAGGAAGAGTTCTCCACCGATGTGTTTCAAACATCAGTGGTACAATGGCAACCGTGGTCGAGACGGTAAGGACTTGGTGCAAGGATAGAATGCCTTCATCCATAACATCAAGCGCATTGGCCGTGAGGCCTGGCTCGGTAAACTTGATGCAGCTCGCAACAGATTTGAAAAGCGTAACCTAGTCGGTGTACGGTACAAGTTGCACCGACTGTCAAGAGAGGCAGGATAACCCTGTTTCTCGTGAGAAGATCCGTGTCAGTGTGCCTCGACAACTCGAATCGTGCCCCTAGGGAGGCCTACCTACCCAATGTTCCCTAATGGAGGGCGCGCATCTCTTTTGAGATGGCCATAATGATTGATACCTTTTCATCCCTGTACTCGCGTTCGGGGAGAGCATTTTTCCGACGGCATTTATTCGAACGCAGTGGGTAGGTCTCGTCGTACTGCTCGACGAGACCAAGGACATTAAAAATCAGCTGGGCACAAGGCTTCCAGCTATCGCAGGCCGGCGGATAGCCACGTTAGTAGACGAGGTAACTCGTCCGGACGCCATTCACGTTGCGGCCGTTCAAAAATCAATCCACCAGAAAACGTTGAACCCCGCCAGAATCCGCCAAAGGATGTGGTGGTGGAGGTAACACCTGATCCGGATCAAGGGTCAGATCAGCTTGATGTTCAGGAACTGAACCGCGCAACGGAACAGTTACACGAAGTCTTGGCTCACCAATGAACTTGGCGCTACGAGCTCCAATACCTTGTAAGGGGTAGTTACATTTCCTTAGCGCACGATCGTTCGAACGATCGTGCCGCGATTGCGTTCGCATAACTTGAGAACGAATGTTCGGCTCGTTCTCTTCGTGACGAGCTGACTGTAGCTCATTAGGGTATCGCTCAACTGCGTGATCAGGTCGCTTCGCTAGTCGATCACACTGACTCGTTGAAACGGGACCACTCGAAAGTGGTCTCGGCTCTCGTTAGCGGGGGTGTTCTTCGCATCTCGAACCAGGCTTGTACTGATAGTAGACGTATAACGTAGAACATAGGATGCATAACGTAGAACATAGGATGCATACGCATCTTACGGGGCAGTTCATATGCGTTCCCCATGCAGCGCAATACACGAAACGGACCGAAATTCTTGGGCAGTAATTTACTGCTGCCCACGTTTGTCACTACATGTTTTGGTATACTTGCTGTTAACAGTAAAAATACGTCTCCATCATAAAATGAACCAGCATTTGCTCTTCCATGTGTGTCTGCAATTCGTTTTTGCTTATCTGTTGCATCTGCAATAGAGTCATGAACGAAGCGGACAACCGCTTCGCGAGTCAGCAGAAATTCCTCTGCTGATCCACCCTTGCAGTCTTGCCGAAGGGGTACCTCAAATTCCCATGAGTTTTCAGACTCAGGGTACCCACGCCACTTTACCAGATACTGGTATTGGCCCTGAGGACGACGTCGTTTCAGTAGTCTCTCGACATGAAATTGACGACACCCATGCTCCTCGAGCAAAGTCGGTGGCGGCCGGTATACCGGTGGAGGCCCACGAGAAATTGGTTCTCTAAGTGAAGGGTCTTCAACAGGCCTTGGGTAAGTCCCAGTGCATGCTGGATGCGATGCAAAGCCGCCTTCAGGCGATGGAGCAAGCTTAAACTCGGAGCGAGGCTCAGTTGGACTTGCTGATTCGTCTACAGCAATCCGGGGCAGTGCCCTTGTCGTCGGCGCAAGCGCCTCCAAGTTCACGTGGGAAGGATCCCGGTACGGCTTAAGTAAGCCTACGTAGAACACCGGATGTGTGCGCAATTTGCGCGGGAGGCTTAGCGTATACGCAAGTCCCTTCTTGGCGGTGACTGTAAACGGTCCAACAAAGCGTGGACGCAACTTTGTCTAAAGACCGCAGACACTACATTTGTAGGTAGATTTTTAGCATTGAGTACTACTTGGTCTCCGACCTCATAATGTTCAACACATTTTCTGCCTTTGGAATCAGCTTGTTGCTTTTGTTTATCTTGGCTATCAGCCATTGCGTCACGCACATGTCTTAAGACATTTAATCGCGTTGCGAGAAACTCGCCTACCTGTTTTTGAGCAGTAGCAGGGCTGATATCAGCAAGCCGATCGGCAAACTCTCCCCTACCAAGCCCTGAATCACGTAGTGATAGCGTTAACGGAACGCGAGGGTGAGCGAAACCGTTTATATATAACGGAGTAAAGCCTGTTGAGGCATGCACAGCGTTATTCAACGCAGACTCAGCAACAGGGAGCATTGAGCTCCGACGCCTAGGCGTATCAGCGCAAGAACTGCGCAAAATGTCGTTGATGACGCGGTTAACACGCTCAGTTTGACCGTCGGTCTGCGGATGATCCGCTGTGGACATGTACAACCGAGTGCCAAGCACCTTGAAGATAGACTTCCAAAACTTCCCAGTGAAGCGGGGTCTCTATCAGAGATAACAGCCACCGGCAAGCCATGTTGGCGAAACACACGGTCGATAAACGGCTTTGATGTACCTTCCGCATCGATGCTATCCGGCACAGCCGCTAAGTGAGCCATCTTGCTTAATCGGTCAACAAAGACCACAATACCAGTGTTGCCTTCCGAATCTTTCGGCAGGCCAAACACAAAATCCATGCTCATGGACTCCTAACAACCAATGGGTACTGGCAAACTAGCCAGCGGCGCCGCCGCATGTGCCGAGGGTTTTACCCGTTGACACGTTTCGCACGTGCGCACATAGGTGTGCACCCACTTATAAAGTTTGGGCCACCAATAACTTTGGCTCACCGAGCTATAAGTCTTCTCAAGACCGAGATGACTACTTAAAGCAGTATCATGTGCTTCATAGAGGATTCGATACGTTAACTCCTCATCATGAGGTACAGCGATACGAAGCTTATCCTCAATATCCGTGCGATAGAACAACAGGCCACTATCGATGGAATATCGATGTAGCCTCGCACGTATACGTGCCGACAATTCTATGTCCGAGTATTTAAACTCATTGCTCCCAAGAGCACGTAGCAAAGCTACACACTGATCATCCTTGGCATGTGCCGCACGAATTAAGTCAGGGACTGACGACGACAGAGTCGTAACATGAGCAAGCTCATAGTCAGGTCGACGCGATAGCGCATCAGCCAAAGCGTTTTGCTTACCTGGCTTGTACTTCACCTCGAAGTTTTATTCGGCAAAGAAGGAAAGCCAACGAGCCATTCTATGTGAGAGATGAGGCGACTGTGTCGCAGTGCGTAATGACGCATGATCTGTATAGATCACAAACGGCTTAGAGCCAAGCAGATGTACTCTGAATTTGACAAGAGCGTACTTCATAGCAAGTAGCTCTTTGTCATGAACAGGATAGTTCTTTTCAGCAGCTTTCAGCCGCCGAGACTTAAATGCGATGACGCGTTCGCGTCCGTCAACATCTGTTTGTAACAGAGCACTGCCTATGGCAAAATCAGATGCGTCACAGACGACACTGAAAGGCCGACTAGAATCGGGCAAAGCCAATATTGGCGCATGAAGGAGACTTTCTTTGACTGCTTCAAAAGCATTATGTTCGGTGTTACCCCAACACCAATCCACATTCTTTTTAAGGAGATTGGACAATGGCAGAGCCATATCTGCGTAATTCGCACTGTACTTATGTAAGTAATTGGCAAGGCCAAGCCACTTACGCAAGTCCTTTTGGTTCTTGGGAACCGGCCAATCGACTATGGCTTTCACCTTAGCGGGATCCTCTCGAAGGCCTCGCTTCCCAATGAAGCACCCTAGAAAGGGAATCTCTTCTGCACCAAAGATGCACTTCGATGCGTTAGCATACAACTTATTCGTTCGCATGCACTCGAGCACAGCTCGTAAATGATCAATGTGGTTATCCATATCTGATCGCCCATTCATTGCACGACTATGGACAAAAATGTCATCAAAGTACATTTGTGCATAGCCTCGATGAGGTCTGAATAGTTGCGTTACCAGCCGGTTAAACGTAGCCGGGGCGTTAGATAACCCTTGTGGCATAACAAGCCACTCCCAGAGCATACCGCTCGGAGTACTCACCGCAGTTAGCGGAATATCACTTGCTCGCATAAGCAGTTGGGAATAAACGTTGACTAAGTCGAGTGCACTGTACAATGTACATCCTGCCATATTGTTCTGAAGCACATCCTTTCCAGGAATAGGCGTCTGCGCCGGTATAGTGGCTGCATTGAGCTTATTATAAGCATGCACAATACGCCACTTGCCATTTGGCTTTTTGACACAAAATGTCGGTGTTGTATCGGGATACTTGCTCTCTCGAAACATTCCAGCCGCGTGCTTAGCACGAAAGAAGTCGTCAATGACGTCACACTGTTCTTTAGGCAAAGGCCACTGCCGTGTTACACAGTATTTAGTTCCAGAAACTAAGTCAATCTCATGACGTACACCTCTATCGGGAGGTAAGGCAGAAGGTGGGTTGTGACACACCGCATCTTGAAATTCCTTAACTAAAGGATAGAACGGATCCAAAGGATCTTTAAGGATTGAAGATCCACTTCGTGCACTAAGTGCCGCCTTTGTATCCTCTAGGACAGACTCATCCATTAACGAGGAAGAATTCAACTCAGTATCAGGTCTAATGACCGCTAACTCGGATAACTCTCCTGCCTTTAATGCCTGGCTAAACTCGCCATCAAACATTTCGTCTAGCTCACAAAGAGCGTCCACGGACGGAAGGGTTTCAAGGCAAACACTGCCATCAACCTGACCAGTCACTCCATTAACAAGTGTATATAGTGTATTACTATTATCACTTTGTGACTGTGTGAACGCCTGGAGCTTTACAGCTGCTACCCAGCGTCTCGATCGCCTCTTCGAGACCTTTCACCCCTTAAGGGTCGGGAAAATATTGTCCCCATGGTTACTACCAACCATAGTACGCTCTATACGAGAGCTTCTGTCTCGACCGACATCCGGTGAAGTGTTACATAACTCGAACACTTCACCCAGTGGATTGAAACGTGCCACTCCACGTGTATTATGCGGGCCTAGCCTCAAATTAAGGGCGTCTCGCCAATAAGGTCATCACCGACATTAGGTGTAGTGACCTCACGGCCGTCCACACTATACGGCGTATCGCCAACAGTATCATTACTGACATTAGGTGTGGTGCCCTCACGGCCGCCCACACTATACGGCGTATCGCCAACAACGCCATTACCGGCGTTAAGCGTGGTACCCTCACGGCCGCCCACACTAAATGGCATATGGCCAACAATGTCATTACCGACATTCAGTGCGGTGCTCTCACGGCCGACCGCACTCGGTTTAGTTTCACGTGCCACTATACACACATCAAAGAAATCACATCCTTGATCACTCGGCCCTAGGCCAACCATGCTTTCAGCATGCAGTGACTCGTTATCACAACGAGTAACACTCAACGGAGTACGTGCCGTTTCACTAGTTTCAGACGAGCTAGGATCGAAACTTATGTTTGTAACATTGGAGTTAGATAACTCAGACATTCCAATATCCAGCACATTGACATCTTCTGTCAAAGGCTCACGCCAAAAGCGCTTCTGTTGCCTAGCGAAGGTGGGTTCATGACTCTCCAAAGCTTCGCCAGGAACATTGCGCGTAGTTCCTAAGTTCTTAGATCTCTAATCAATTTAGGGCCCATGGCGTTCAAGCCAAGCCATACTTAGGATGAGATCATATCTCGAGTCCAAATCTAGGACAAGACAGCGCTCAAAACTGTCAAAGTCTAAAAAATTTATACCTAAGTTCAATGGAACTTTAGGCACAGTTACGCGACTTCCAGTCGCTAAACGAACCGTGATAGAATCACCTTCATGCGCTGTAAGCGCCTCAGCACAACGCTGACCTCCCTCAAGGAACGGCGTCGAGCACAATTGCAAGACGCTCCAGAATCGATCAATATCGACCTAGGCTTCTCAAAGCCCTTAATTTTCGCCTCGGCGACCATCAAGCCAGACTTGTATCCACGCAACATACCTGTAGGTATGGTACTCTTTGGGGCTAAGCCCTGCATTCCTTTACCTTCTAATGGTGTAACAGAACCTAGTTCTTCCCCAGTAGGGCGCCCCGCGCCTACTGGGTGTCGGCATTTCCCCTTGCCATGCCAGACTTCTGACTCGGGGTCGAGTGTTGGCTTGTAGCCTGGCGTTGCTTACGCAAAGGGCAACCAGTCCGCAAGTGTTTGGTGCTTCCGCACGTAAAACATCGTCGTACTACGTATTGCTGCTCAGCAGCTTGAAGTTCAACTTCACCTTCATCTTCAGCAAAGCTGAGATCCATCGGTTCCGGCCTATTATAGGCAGTGGTACCCGAAAAGTTTGCTCTCACAGAGCGAGGATTGTATCCATTCCAACCAAGTATGGCCGACTTGAAGTTATGCTCAGCATTTAGAGCTATTCTCACAGCCTCTTCAAAGGTAGAGGGGTGAACCCGAAATACCTCGGTTCTGGCAATGTTGAAGGCTTTTAAGCATCGTGGCCATGGTCATCTCGAGACCGAGGCCGTTCCCCACCACTAGTGGTGCGGGTTGGCGGGTTGTTGGCCACAGACTGACCAGCACTCGCGGCTACCTTAGTAGACGTAGCATAGCGCGTGCGCTTGCGCAATTGGCCTCTGGCCTTAAGCTTGGCAAAATCATACCGAAGCTTGCGTTCGAGACGCACATCCGCCGCATGGGCACTAGCCCTTAGAGCAAAAATGTTCCTGAGGCGACGCACATAGTGCACCCAGTGAACGAAGGCATCGTCTTCTTAGCTTACGGTTTCGCCTGCGAGCAAGAGAATGGGTATACCCTTGATCGGTGGAACCGGTGTACCACGTGCTTGCATGTCAAGGCGTGCCTTGTATTGACTTTGAGTCGTTAGGTGCGGCTCCAGGTACCTCTCACGAAGTGCCTGGCAGCTCAGCACCTCCTCAGGAGTCTTAGGCCCATGGCCAATGACCCACGTTGCCAATGTTTGGCCGGCCGCTTGACGTAAACGTTCCTCCACACTGGGTGGGGTGAACACATAGTCACGCTGGCGTTCAAGGGTTGCAGCCATTTGTACATAACGCTGAGCGTTTTCTTCTCTTTGGACAAGCAACTGCTGTTGCTCATCGAGCGGATTCGTGATGATAGTCTCATCAGACCCAAATGCTGCATGCTGCGCTGGTGGCGCGCTCGCATCTCCACGTTCAGCGAGCGGATTTGGGGTGTTCAAAGGTTGTGCCACAGGCATCAGTGAGCCGGACATTGTCCCTGTATCACTGCGGACACTGGGTATCGCTACCATAGTCCACCTCCTCCTCTATTCCGAGGTAGTCAAACAGAGCCTTTGACTCGTTTGGTGATGAGGACATCGTTCTAGAGCGTACGTTACCGTGAGGTTCACCGCACGCGCACTGTTCTCGCTGAGAACACAAGTTCGATTGACGTGTTGGCAAACGTCAGTCTGGTGGGGGAGGGTGTAACGGGGTTGTACGAAATTATGGTATTTTGTACCCGAGGTGTTACACACCTGAGGTTACCCCTTTGTAAAGGTGATATGGAATATCTTACTGGTTTGTAGGGGCTGACAAGTGTCAGCCATTAGGTACGAAAGATCTTTGAGTAGGATTAAGATATTCTATAAGCGTTAACAAAAATAAAATCAGTTCCCATTTTGATCTGAAGGACACGTGGCTTGCGAGCCGTCTTGATCGTTGATCACTGATCACTAAGAGTTAGTAACACCTCCTTGAGGTAGCTACTCTTGAGCACTGAGTGCTGTCGATTCACTGAATCGTTAGGTCTCCTGGAACAGGGATCTGAAGCTGTAAAGCTTGTTGACTCGTAAAGTCGTCAGTTCTTTAGAACTAAGTTGCTCGTAGAGCGTTAAGTCTTCCTCTGACTTAAGTCTTCCTCTGACTTAAGTCTTCCTCTGACTTATGGAGCTGTGTAGCTCCGCTACAGCTTTGCAACATCTGACCAGACAGTTAGCTAAACCAAATCAAACCTGTGTCAGCCCCCTTTTCCATACCCAACGGTGCTATCATTCTTTTTGACTTCGTGATTGTTTTCTCAGTTTGGTAGGTCTTGTCGGATGACCGTCCATAACGAAGAGTTGAAGCCTACGTCGTAGTGGATCCTGTTGCTCGATTGTCTTGGAACTTCGTACTCAATATAGACAAAGGTGTACCGTTGTTTCTCATTTCACCCGGTGCAACTATACTAGTGTAGCCAGTATGCGATAAGTGCACTGACACAACATCCGCAGTCGCTTTTCTTTGGAGAACGAGAGAGCAGCTAGTCTGGTAAAAAGCTATCGAATCAAGTAGTAGTGAGGCTAATCTCACACACGTTGCAACGAACCGAGAACGTATTCCATGATTCGAGGATTGAATTTGCACAACATGCCTTGTCGCAACAGTTCGAAAGTGTCAAAGCAACAGACCGAAAAGCGCTTGTCATATGAGAAGCTATGAGAGTACTGCTCGTACATTTCTAGACGTATGTAAGCTAGGTCTGCTATACTTCAAACTGCCGGGTGATATTTTGCGTGTTCAGTAACTTGGGAAGGGATACTGACCGATACTCTAAAAAAGACGCAGTATGCGAGAAGGTTGTATTACGAGACTGCAGCTATCAGGCGCGTGCTTCCAGCACATGTAATTTCGCCCCTCGCTGGGTTGTACAGTGTGGCATGTCTGTTATTCCTACGTGCTTTAATGGAATCCTACGTCATTTCCACCGTCTTTTCGCTCACATAAACGGACGAAAGCAGCGAAAGAGGCTGCATGTGAGTGGATTTCAATTTCATGTCATCGGGCGTCACTAAGCAACTAGTCGTGGAATCTAAAATGACGTACCCGTTCAAAGAGCTCTAGCAGGCGACGAAATTAAGACTGAAGCAGTCGCCGAAGCGACGCGACACAAAATCACCAGATATTTTACCGATCTCGATTGCAAGTTCTGACAAACGTAATCGTCAGGATCCACCATTGTTCGTTTTTATCGTTGAGTGTATGAGCGCACAAGCCCATGACAATATTTCGGTTACGGACACACTCCTGTAAGTATAAATCATCTGGTAAGTATTCGTTCATGAATCTGTTGCCACCTACACGAGATACTCACATAACACTTAAGCTAAAATGGTGCACTCGCTCGGTAGTTGTATGGGGATATCAACAATCGACATGAGCTGCTGCGCTAGCACGCTGTTGAATCTGTCGAGCTACCACTTTAACACTGGGATGGCGCAGCATCGTCAAGTGAGTGCAATCTGGTATCGCGCTCACAATAGTGATGGAAACACCAAGCTGTCGATACTGAGCAACGTCCGCTGTCGAGTGCTGCGTCATGTACAGGTCAGCATGAAGCCAAATCGGTGGTGCTGGTTTCGAGGAAGCCAGCTCCACTTCAGCGACCGTGTACGGTTGATAGTTCTGATCCAGCGAGCAGAATTTGCGAAAGTTTACCCGCAACGGCCGTAAGAACGGGTCACTGAATGCTTCATTAGCATACTCGTCAATCCGGAGCCGAGTCGTCAAGTCTTGCACCTTGTTTGCTTCCAGCTGGATGGATGGCATCACGAAAGGAAGCCCGTCCAACAGGATGAGGGGCAGAATCTTGTGACCGTGCCTTATTACTAAGCGTGCAACCTCATACGCTAATCGACAGCCAAACGAGAAGCCACCGAGCGCATAGGGACCCTCGCTTTGCCGTTCACGAATCTGGTTCCAGTACAGTTCAGCCAGCTCTTCCACGCTAGATGGTTGCGTTTCGAGAATCGAATTGGTGCCATCGTCAGAAAATGGGGTTGACGCCTGAATGCCAACGACAGCAAATGGCAGTTGTCTTGCTAACTCGAGCAGTTGCCACACCGTGCCAACAGCATCGTGGAACAAAAACAGCGTTGGCAACGAACTACGCGCTTTCGTCGACGGCCAGTTGAGTGGAACTAGAGTTTGTGACGTCAATTCTCGTAAGTTTGTCATTGAAGTTGCCGCGTTTCTTGCCATTTCAGGAAGCGAGGAGGAGCGGAAGAACTGCTCGAAGGCTAGTGGTAGTCCTCGTGCTCGTGCAAGCGCAATTGCTCGGATCGCAGCTAGAGAATCACCACCCAGCTCGAAGAACGACGTCGACATCAAGCGTTTTTCATGCCGATCCGTATCAATCTCTTCGGTATCGTAGATGCTGTTGATTCCCAGAGCTTGCATCCAAACCTGACGCAATATGTCGATGGCCAATTGCACAGTAATTGTGCTCCCACTGCCACCATCAGCATCCTGCATGGTTGCTTCAGTACTACTTGAGTGCACGTTAGCCCAATTTGCAAGCTTGCGAAGATCGACCTTCCCACTTGGCGTACGTGGCCAGCAGCGCACAACTTGAATCAGTTTGGGCACCATGTGCATCGGTAGGTGCTCATGAAGGTACGAGCGCAGCTTGTCGGAAAAGCGTTTCTCGTTGATAGAGTCACTGATATTTTCAACAGCCATGACAAAAGCGACAAGAACGGAAGAAGTCTGTTGCTGCTTCGAGCCTGAAGGTCGAGCCTGAGAAAGTACAAGCACCTCAACAGCCTTTACGCCTTCGTGACGTAACAGAACGTTGCGTACTTCCTGTGGCTCAATGCGCATTCCATGATGCTTCACTTGAGCATCCGCTCGTCCGAGGAATACGAGATCACCGCTTGGTAACCACTTCACCAAGTCCCCTGTCTTGTACCATCGTCTTCCACACTCCATCTCTAGCGGTAAAACCTCTCCAAGATCTTGATGAAGAATGAAAGCGTTCTCAGTCAGATCTGGACGATGTCGGTAGCCTCGAGCAAGACCCGCGCCACCAACGTACAATTCACCCGGGACGTTTACCGGAGCAAGTCGCTTCTGCAGATCCAGTACAATCACCGGATGATCGTCGATTGGTTTTCCAATCGGAATGCTCTGTAATCCGTGGAGAACACTTGATGAACCTTGCAGTGCCAGTGATCGAGGCAGCTGGAAAGCAGTGGATGTAATAGACGCCTCGGTCGGTCCGTATTCGTTGACAAGACATGTTGCGCTCTTTTCGTGCATCCTGTAAAACCGGTGTGCTAGTTCAATAGGAAAAGCCTCGCCTGCGAGCACGACATGTTTGACTGAAGTAGGGAACGAATCACCTTGACCATTCAGATAATCAAGGAGCAGCGCGAAGTAGGAAGGCACGAACACACAAAACGTGACGTGCGGTGCATCGAGCAGTACATGCCGCATGTAATGCAGCTCGTGTAAACCTTTCGGACGTGTAATGCGAGCGCTTCCTCCGACAAGTAAAGGCGAAAAAAGTTGGGACAACGAGCCGTCCAAACAGGTAGACGTGCTCTGAAGGAATACGTCGGATGCTGTTACCGCATAAGTGCGCACAGTCCACCAGAGAGTAGTCATTAAAGCAGCGTAAGGCACCATAACGCCTTTCGGACTACCTGTTGACTTCAACACGCTCAGAAGAATACATCAGTTAGTAAACGATATGAATCTTGTGCAATAACGGATGAAGACTTACCCCCGACGTGTACAGAATGTACGCTGTTGCTGCTTGAGCATCTCGTGCAGAGCGTGTCTGTAGTCGTTTGTCATCGCTCGCACGCTTATGAACTGTAGAGATGCCATTTGGATTGGAGACGACGAGATCCAAATCTTCGTAGCGCAAAATGCATGGCAAGAAGTCGTTATCGTTCTCAGGGTCCCTTGCCGTGGCTGATACATACGTTGCAATCTCATCATGTTTTCGCTGTGTGATAATTACTTGGAGACCACTGTCTCGGGTGATGACGGATAGGCGTTTGCGTGGACATTCCAAGTCAAGCGGTACAAACGTCGCTTTCAGACGCAGTATTCCGACCATTGCAGCTACATACTCCAACCCGCGATCCAGCAATAACCCAATATGAAGATCAGTCGTAAGATTGCCAGGAATGTCAAGCGCGCACAGCGCTTTTGCAATGCACCCGCTATAATCCCACAAGTCTTGATATGTCCACTGCGTGCCCTCAAAATGCAGAGCAGTATTCAGTGGGGTTTTTTGTACCTGGTCAAACAAACACTCGTCCAGGAATTCGAATGCCGGCATCTTGCTGACTCCATTGGTTGTTGAGGGCTCTGGCATGCCCCATTTCAAGACGAGTTGCTTACGTTCAAGATCAGAGAGCATGGAAATAGATGGCGATCGCACTGGAATGTTAGGTGAGATCGTGACCTGCTCCAGCAGTCTCAAATAGTAACTAGTAAAGCGTTGGACGGTATCACGGGTAAATTTGGCGGTCGAATACTCCATCACTCCTTCCAAGACGCGATCCGGCGAACCTTCTTCGAGATGACCGTACCGCATGGAGAGCATGAGATCAAACTTTGCTGTCTGATGTGGTAACACCATCTCTACGCACCCGACTGGATCCGGGCAAGTGTCCACTTGTTCCCACGAAAACATGGTCTGAAAAAGTGGGTGTTGCCACCGCCGTTCATCATCTCCACGACTACAGGCACGCAAATGTTCCAGGATCTTGTAAAATGGGACTTCAGAATGGGTGTAAGCTTCGAGTACTATCTTACGCACAGATGCCAAGAAACTCTTGAAACCTTCGCTGTCTCTGCATCCTGGACCTAAACGCAGTGGAACAGTATTAACAAAGTAGCCCATGACATCTTGGAGCTCCGTAGAGTCACGTCCTGAGAAAGGTGCGCCGATCACAAAATCTTGTTGACCTGACAAGCGCTCAATCAGTAAGTAGAAAACTGCAAGAAGACCCATGAACATGCTTGCTCCTTGAGCGTGACAGAGCTCAGAGAACGCTTTCTGCAGCGAAGGAGACGATTGGAACACCACAATGTCTCCTTTTGCGGTGGTCGCATCCAGTGCATCGACTTTGTCGATCGTTCTGCGGTCGAGTTCGTCAGACTGTATCGCATCAAATGGCAGTTCGAGTAGCGCTGGTACGCCACCGTCTGTTAGTTGCTGCATCCAGTACTGTAACAATGGAGCGATTACGCCGGAGCGCAGTCGTGCTCGCTGCCATTCTGCAAAATCTAGGTACGTCAAGCAAGTAGCATTGACAGCGTTTTCCTCTGTCTGCTGTACAAACGATGGTGTCGTGATCTCTCCGTCCTTGCAGTGCGAGAACTGTGCGTAAAAATAGTGAAAGTCGCGCCAGAAGAGCTGACTAGACGCTGCGTCTGTCACGATGTGGTGCAGCACAACCGCAAGAATCCACGGCGAAGTCAACTGTCGATCTGCACACGTAAAAGCAAACACCCGAATCGGTGCCTGGTGCGCCAACTCAAAAGGTTCATCCACCGTCTCCGCGACAAAAGCAGCAAGTTCCATGTCGTCGTCAGTTGCTCTGCTGCCATCGTCGGCAAGCAAATCGCACTGGACGATCTTCAAGACGTCAAACTGCCCTTGGAAGTACGATATCGGGTACACCACTTGACTTGCTTGACCCCCTGCATTTGTATCAACATCAAAGCACGTCCGCAGTACGTCATGCTTTGTCATAAGAGCGCTGCACGTGCGACGCAAAGAGTCCAAGTCCAGCGGTACGTCCGAGAAACGCAATGCTCGCACGACGTTGTACGCTGTGCTACAGGGTTGTAGCTTCTGAACGGCAAAGAGCTGCAATTGGAGGTACGACAATTCACACGGAACTGTGGCAAACGTCTGGCGTACACCGCCGCGTCGCAGCAATAACCCCCCTCCTCCTCCCTCTCCTGTCTCGTGTCCTCTGTCAGTATAAACGTGACTATTGCACCGCATCTGCTTGAGTGCTTTTTCCAGCGTCTCAAGTCGTCGCAGTCTTGATGGTGCTCTTCCATGTCCATGACCTTCACTTGCTGCTTGTTCGCGAGTTCTTTTTCGTAGCAGCAATAGCTCCAGATAATGTACCGCCACGTCCACTTGTTGTGTATCCAGTGCTCGGGTTAAAGCAGCTACTGCGTTGACTGCATCGTCGTCATCGTTTTTCGTCCAGTCATTGTCGTCATTCTTGTTCGTACAGGTGCCGACATTGACGCTATTGTTCGTATGACTCGGGGTTACGCTGGACACGCGCATACGTGCGGCGGCTGTTGGAAACCGTTACAAAAGTGACGCTCTCGACCAATCAGTCAGAACGATATGACCATACTGAGGATGACGCGGGACCAACCAGCTGACACAAACATACGGTTTGTGACTAAGATTGCAGAAGATCGCAAAAGATCCAGTGATAATGATATGACGGTGCTCCCCCCAATAGGTGATTGACACATCTCCGTTTACCGGTTTCATGATTATCGGGGGGAGGGAGCACTGAACATTGGCGGTGGATCAGATTGTCTATTTCCATGGTTAGATGAACTATGTGCAAGATCTCTGGTGTATCCTACGTCATGCCTGTTTTTTGGACAAAGCCGGTAGGTTGTCGTGTGCTATTGCCAATGCGACGGCACCGAATGTGGGAATGGACCCCTATTAGCCACTTGCGCAGCCTATCGACGTAGAGTGTAGTCACCAAAGTAACCACGAGGCGTGGGTAGCGCCTAACCGTCGTAATATCTCCCCTCGAAAACCTCCATTTGCAATGGTGGGCCCTGGCTTGGCCGCTTGCGCGACCCGTCGGTCCACTACCCCCACATTCGAGACTGCGAGTGCAGCGCGCTCGAGACAGACTCCAGACCTCTTCGGCTCCCCTGTAAGGAAGATTCCCTCCGAGGTGGCTGCCCCCGAAGCGGGAAAAGACTGGCTTGAGCTGAACCGTGAAAAGTTGGGAATGTGTCGAGTGATTTGGCTACCGTAGCTGCCAAGTATTTGCGGATGTGGAATAGCTGTGTCTTAGGCATGTTAAACGATACCTTAAGGACGGAATGATGCACGTGGTTTTTACTGTTATCGTTGCTGTTACGCAGTTGCACAACGTACTTACATTGCCGAACCGCGAGCGAGCTCAATTGGACGATACAGAGGTAGGAAGAGCACAACTGTCGACACAGACGGATCAATAGGTCACCAGGTGCACGACCAGAACGTCAAAGACAGACCTACTGTGTTAAAGAAGACGAAGTTGGAGTATTGCTTTGACTACATTCGCGGGTTGACGGGCTTCATAATGGGCTTGAACGGCTCAGACAAGGCTGCAAGGACAACTCGTCGACTTCGACTAGCCAAAATGGAGTGTGAAGATCAGCTGACAAGCACGTTATGGCTTATTTGGAGTGGTGTTGGCCCGCGGTCCTTCAGTGTGCTTGAATTTCCTACTAGCAACGCCTGGAATCCATTTGGTCAGCAGGATCAAACATCTAGGTATCCCTCCCCAAACTTCTGTCAAATATGACCTCAATTAGTCGCAAGCTGCTATGGCTGGACTACGAGCATATAGGTCGATGAACGATTGTGCGCTTCGGCTTTGCGTGACCACCCTCGTACGTTCAGCGAGCTCTAGTCTTCGCCCAACACAACATCACATTATTGAGCAAGTGAATACGTCAGTGTAAATAAATAAGTTTTGCCATGAATCCCAGCTGCAACGATGGATTGTAGTAGCGAGATGAAACGCTATCGAGTACTGTTCGAGGACTACCGCCGCCACAAAAAAATGCATTGCCGAACCTCTACTACCCATTATGCAATCACCGCTGAAGAAGTAGAGAAGGTTCACATTGTTTTGTCACGACTTCTGTAGGTTGGTAGCTTGGCGAGCCCACTTAGCCAAAGACAAGGTCCAGCAAGACAACCTGCATTGTTAGAAAGCTGCAGTGATCACTGTCGCTCTTTCGTTGGTCCCGCGGTGATTAGCGTAAGCATTGCATTACTCTGTCCTGCCCAATCGAGAACCTTCCTACCAGTTTAACTTCGATACAGAAAACTGGCTATCAGGAGGAGCTCAGTCTCTCGCGGCAACGACACCCTCTGCGGGGCGTCGCCAAATGTGCTAACTTCAAGTACGACATTCACCAAGACACAACGTCGGAAAATATGATATGCTTCCACTTGTGCCGAAGCCACATTCGAAACAGTCATCACCTGCTAGAGCGTTGCAGCTTACCAATTCTAATGTACTTCATGAATGTGTAATATCCAGCAGCGCATCGTATCGGGGCCAGCTACTTTACCGGTTCCGCATACTGTGCTCCTCATAAACTACCAGTTACAATAAATGCCGGAGATCTGTTCCTAAGCTGTCTACAGCGCTGCTAGTTTATGATGATGTCACCCAGGGGTCACGTTGGCTGATTCCCTCCGTGTGTATCATCCCACTGATACCGGAGCTTTCGTCCCTCGAGTCGATAGCCGTCCGATCCAAACCTTTGTCAAGTCAGAGAGACAGTCGAAATCTTTACATTTTCAAGAAATGACAGCAGGTCCGCGGGACAGAGATCCAAATAATGGCTGACACCATGACTGACGTCGCTTGAATTTGTGTCACGTTTTCCGTGTGCACTGTTTGCCCGACGAAAAAAGATGCTGGTTGGTGAGACGGTAAGGACGATGATGACCGGTGAGCTGTGGGCTCGTCGCGGCTTTGTACCGTGAGCAGACGCCCTGAGATTCGGACGCGCGATGTGCGTCTCAACTCTAGTAGCGTCAGAGCCAAGACAGTGCTAACAAATTTTAAACTGAGATGGCAAAGATCTTTCTTCATTTGCCAATTAATCCCGTGCCTAGCACTTCCATCGAAATGACCAACGATTGCTCAACTTTGGGCAACGCCACTCCCATTGACGAGTCTGTAGTTAAAAGCAAGAAACGATGGGACGTCCAGCCGTCTGCTTTTTCCAAACTTTGCTCGAACCCGATTCGGGAAATTGTTGATAACATCAAGAAACCTGCAACTTCCACCAAGAAGTTGATCCCGCTGTCGCTTGGTCGGTTACTGCTTCATCCTGAAAAAAAGCTTTGGTTTACGTAGGAGGAATGACCTGAACTCACGCTATTGCTCAAATAGGTGACCCGACGGTATTTGGCAATTTGCACTGCCCGGATGTACTGGTCGAGGCAATTGTCCGTAACACTCGGTTCGTGACTGCTCTGCCAGCAGTTACGTGCAGAGTGAATCAACCTTATCACGAACATTTCCATCTGTTCTCACTTTCATACGTAGATCGATGCAACACAATGGCTACATTCACTCGGCTGGTTCCGAGGCAGCACGTACTGCTATCGCCGAGCACTTTGGTAAACCAGAAGCCCCATTAACGATGGACGATGTCATCATCACTAGCGGGTGCTCCGGAGCAATTGAGATTGCTCTCCAGGGTTTGTTGAACCCTGGGGACAATATCCTCCTTCCAACCCCGGGGTTCCCATTGTATCGAGCACTTTGTGCAGCGTACAAGATCGAGTGCAGGTTCTATACCCTCAAAGTGAGTTACAAGACCAGTGTAGACATTGCTGAGTGTTGTTTCACACTGATGGATTGGGTATCAATTGGATGATAGCCGGAGAGTAACTGGGAAGTGGATCTGGAGCACATGCAAGCCTTGGTTGATGATCAAACCAAGGCTATTTTGGTGAACAACCCTTCGAACCCGTGTGGCAGTGTCTTCTCAAAGGTGCAACAAGTAATGGTATTGTTAATGTTTCATCGTGTCGTGCGAGCTCACATTGTGTGCTTGATGTTGTCAGTCCCATTCGGAAAAGATTCTGGAGATAGCGGAGCTGAACAAGATCCCCATCATCACGGTGAGCTGATGTCTTTGTTTTCTCTGCTTTGGTGATACACCCAACAAGGCTTATGATGCGTCAGGATGAAATCTATGGTGACATGGTGTTTGGCCACAACTCGTTCTTTCCCATGGCGACACTGACGACAACAGTCCCGGTAGTTGCTGTGGGGGGTTTAGCAAAGCAGTTTTTGATCCCTGGTTGGCGGGTCGGCTGGATCACGGTGCACGATCGCAACAACGTGTTGGACGACGTGCGTACCGCTTACTTCAAGTTGTCGCAAAACATTCTCGGGGCAAACTCACTCGTTCAGGTAACATCTTGCATCTCATGTTGACATCCATCTTGCAGCAACGCTAATCTGTCGTCATCTTGCTGCTTCAGAGTGCGATTCCAGATCTACTTACACCTGTTCCTGGAAGTGTCGAAGAACAGTCGTTGGCAGCATTCAAGAAGCGCTTTTTCGCGACTTTGCATGACAATGCCAAGTATACGATCGACGCGCTCTCGAAGATACCGGGCCTGGAGGTGGTCGTCCCTCAGGGTGCGATGTACGCCATGGTAATTATACCCTGCAAGTGGCTGTGAAGGTTGTCGAGGATCTTGTAACTTACGGTCAGTTCCTGTGTTGCAATAGGTAAAGATACAAACTGACGTTTTGACCAAGATCAAAGACGATCTCGACTTTACGCAGAAACTGTTGGATGAAGAATCCGTGTTTGTGTTACCCGGACAGGTACGTGCAGCACAATTAGAATAGTATCTCTGTTTGACAGGATCACTTACTTTTGACTTGTTTGCTTTGTGTTTGATAGTGCTTTGGGATGACTGCTTACTTTCGCATTGTGTTCTCAGCACCCCATGAAGTGCTGGCCGACGCTTACACTCGCCTCGAAGATTTCTGCCATCGTCATCAGTGAATGAGTACTGAAGTTGATGGAAAGTAAGCCGGTGTAATTGGATCCGGTCAAAGCATTTGGCAGTCAACACTGTTTTTCATAAAGGATGCAGTCTTAATGAAGAGTTCAAGATCACTAGTGGAGTAAGATCGAGGTGCTCTTGAACTTGATAAATCAAGCTCAGATTGCTTTCGATATGTTGAACATAGCGTGAGCATTGTTAGTAGATGCGGTGATGGGTTAGTATGTTGTTGTCAGACTGTTCACTGATTGACATCGAGCAACGCTGCAGGCCGTACTTAAAAGCATTTTACTTACAGCTGTACAAAATGTCCCTCTTTTTGTCTTTTGAATGTTTCACACGTGACGGCTCGGCGCTCTGTTCGCCCCTGTATAGGTATATCATCGGTATATCGATATTATGATTACTGAGAGTATCGCTGGAAACGTCCATTCGCGAATGTATACTTAGCACCACCTGCTGAACTCACTTGCCGTAGCTAATCAACAGATATTAAAAACATACTGAAACAGGTGATGTATCATTCCGTAACGTATTTCGCCAGTGGGAGAGAACTTGAACGTCCTACTTCAAAGTAATATATCTCGCTCGCAATTGCTCTCCACGCTACGAGGAGGAGTTTCATGACCGTCTATTTACATGTTAACATGTGCAAGATGTCTGAAAAGTCCTGAGCCAGAACACTAGCACCGGACGTCGGTGTTTGTCATGACTGATGGCTCGTTGATCCAAGTGCCCTTGGGGCTCTTGAACGAGTACTTCAAGGCAAGCATGAAGCCGCGCCCCGCTAACTACGGTCGCCGCAGTCCTATGTTCTCGTACAGCAATAGCCCTAAGCTGTCGCATCCTGCGCTCCCAGAAGATAGTTGCGCTCCCAATCGGTGAAGATTTTTCACCACGGAAGACCGCCGCATTGCACCCCATCCAGAGATGCTCGTGACAAACGGAACTGAGTACGAACCAGATGCGTCTAAATCCCACCTCTGCGGCGGTGTGGTCGTCTTGGAAACGATGAATCAAACGCTGCCGAAGGTGATGCGATAGCGGAGGAACCCGACGATAGGCAAATGGCCACATGTAGGGAATCAATGAGGTGACATTTGCCCCCCCCTGTCCAGTAGCGGATAAGTAATGTCCAACATGCTCGCGCAATCGGACAGTCCCAAAAAATATGAGCCAACGTCTCCTTGCACTCCTCGAGTAATCGACAACTGTTATTAACTGGGCGTTCAGCATGATATAGATTCAGCTGATTCGTCGCGATTCGATAACACGTCCACACCTGGTACTCAGTGAGACAGTTTGCATGGCACCAAACTTGGGATGGGCTTTGAGGTGCTACTGCAGCCAGCCAGGTACCTATCCGCGTCGCACCTTCAAATCATGCTAGCCAAGTCTTGAGTGCTGGTCCAAGCTGCCGCTTATGATACTTAAAAACCTGGCGGCAGAACGCTCCCCCAATTCATGCGTTATCCACCGTGTCCGGCACTCCACGCTACGAGCGCGACCGTGGTAAAGTGAACTCAGCCACTATAGATGTCCCAGCCTATCGATGCACATCGCTTCTGTCATCTAAATAGTCGAATACTGGGTCTACCACAGAAGGGGAGCGACGGCAGAATTCGATGGACACCACACCCAAACAAAAGCGACTACACGTGCAATCGTACATGTCTTTTCCGCTCTACATCGTTCAATGCCATACAATGCGCTAGTAAACCCAGCGAGGCTGAAACGAACGACGCAAGCATTGTCCGGTTGTATTCTAGTGTTTCCTTAGTCATTCGCGACATGCAAGTGCGAGCACTTTATCGCGAACTTTATCGACGTTTTCCTTGGACTGACCCTAACGCCGTTGCGAGGAAAATGGCTATGGAGACGAGGTTGTGAAATATCGGGACCGAGTGAGTGGTCACAACTCGAAACACCAGCTCCAACCAGCAGCTCCAACCAGCCAATGCTGTCGTCGCTGCGTCTCCGCGCTCCTCGGCTCTATGCCCTCCACGCGTCGCCCGTTATTCGCACCAAGTCAATTCTTCAGCGTTCGTTCTCGGCCCTTGTCGACTCCAAATGGGTTCGCAATGCACAGACTTCAGGTGAACCAGAGCTCCTGCTCCTCGACTGCAACCATCCGACCTCGTACCTTCGTGGCCACATTCCCGATGCTGTTCCCTTTACGATGGCTCCATCGCTTTTCAAGGACCACACACCTGAAGCTACGGGTGTCGTGAGCTTAGAGCTGTTTTGCGACATCGTGCAGGCATTGCAGGTGCCTAAAGACGCGACGCTCGTGTTTTATGATGACGATAGTATCGGTCTTATTGCCACACGTACGTGGTGGGTCTTTCGCCACTTTGGATTCCCGCTTGAACAACTGAAGGTGCTGGACGGAGGACTGAAGCAGTGGAAAGCTGAAGGCAACGAGGTTGACACAGGGGAAGCAGAAGATCGAGAGATTGCAGCCGATCTCTGGACCCAGCCAGTAGATACGCAGAAGCTTGTGGGGTTCCAGGCTGTGCAGAAGGGGATTGCCGATCCAGCTACCCAGTTTGTGGACACTCGATCTGCTGAGGAGTTCCGGGGTGAAGACGCTCTTGGCAATGCACGGGCCGGTCACGTTCCGGGTGCTGTACACTTCAACTGGATGGAAGGCGTGGACTTTCTCCGGAATGGGAGGTTCAAGACCAAGGACGAGCTGGAGGAGGTCTTTGTCGACACTTTTCGTCTTGACAAGGCGAAGCCCGTGATCACGTACTGCCACCGCGGGATCCGGGCTGCCAACACGGCGTTTCTGCTGGAGCAGATTGTGGGGTTCAAGGATGTCACAATTTATGAAGACTCGATGCTGGAGTACCTCAACAGGGACGACTCGGAGGTTGACGAACAGTGAGGTGTGGTTGCTTGGTACGTAACTGAGTGGTGCAAGAAGCTGGTGCTAGCAACAGTAGAATAGACGCAGCATGGTCCCCTAGACCATTTCCATGGCGAGATATCTGCTGCTGTACTGTAGAACTGCTGGATATGGCAACCGTTATCATCAACCATTGACAAAAAATGGCAAAATAGCTGAGTTTCAAACAGTTAATCGGGCTGTATGATGGCAAAATAGCTGAGTTTCAAACAGTTAATCGGGCTGTATGATGGGCCGTAGCGTTTTTCCGACTGAGCCCATTGGCAACCGATGTAACAACAGCTGCTGCCACATCGACGATGTCCATATCCTTCGATCGCGAGAAAGCATCCGCACAATTATCTGACCCACACCAGCAATATCTCGTCCATGTCAGAACTCGTCGTGAGCGTCTCCGTAATCCCCGTCCGTCGCACCGCCATCGTCAAACTCATTCACTTGACGGCTGCTGTGCAACGCCTGCATAATGTCCTTTTCAATCTCCAATGGTGACGTCGTCGTGCCATACCGTTTCACCGGTTCATGGTTAACAATCAGAAACTTGGTGAAGTTCCACTTGATGTCGTTCGTCACGAATCCATCCAGTCGCTTCTTCAGAAACTGAAACAGCGGGTGCGCCTTGTCTCCGTTAACGTCCACCTACACATGACGCAGCATGTACATGATCAAACGTCAACGACCCCCTTTCTCTCTCTCTCTCTCTCTCATGGTTCGACATTTCTCCCTAACCCTGATGTACCTTGGTGAAAAGTGGAAACGTGACGTGGTACTTTTCCTGTGTAAACTTCATGATGTCATCATTCGTCCCCGGCTCTTGTCCACCAAATTGGTTACAAGGAAAGCCCAGCACCATAAACCCCTCGTCGTGGTATTTCTCATACAATTCCTACAGTTTACGTGCCAAAAAGCAAGCAGTGGATACCAGCTAAAAAGATCACCAACTTGTTGACGTGCACTGTTAATAGGTAGAAGAACGTACCTGCAGCTCGCGATAGTTCTTGTCCGTGTAGCCGCACTCGCTTGCTACATTCACGACAAGAATCACGGGAAACGCACTAAACGCGCGCATGGAGACTTCGTGACCACGCAAGTCCTTGAACGAAAAGTCCAAGAACGACTGGTTATCACCAGCAGCGTCTGCAGCGCAGCAGTCTCTAAGCAGTTCACTCGCAAGGGCCACGACCATTACCACCCACAGCAGCATTTGCGCCATCTTTCGACTACCGCCGGATCTACCGGATCTACACAAACGGTGAACCTCCGTGCTCTTTTCCCATTCGCTGATTCCTCTCCCTTTTTCTCATTGGCTAAAACCCAACAATCTCCGCACCTGTTGAAAAGCGCGCGGAAAAGAGTGCTGGTCTTTTGTCGTTGCCCTCAGTGGACAAACGAGCCGCCAAGTGCAACAAGCATTTGAGCACACGGCCGCGCACTGTGGCTTGTCAGACGACCATCACTCTGACATGCACGACGCATCCGCAACGAATCCACTTCCAGTTGCCTCACGCAGCAGCAGCAACAGCAATGACCACGTGCGGCGCAACCGCCTGACCATGGAGAAGATGATCCTGAAGAACGTGGCCGCGTCCCGCAACAGCACAAAGAACCGCGCGCAGCAGATTGTTGAAGCGCTCAAGAAGAAGCGGTTGCTCGAAGCCGAAGAGGAAGACGCTGCAGTGGACCGAGCCGAGCGGGCGCTCAAGAAGAAGAAGACGGAGCCGACACTATCGTCGTCCCCGCCGTCGTCGACGGACGTCTCGGCCCGAACGGCGCTCGCTGCCGGCATCCTCTCGCCTGCGCGGCATTCTAAACCTCAAACCGCTCCTGTGGCAGCTTTCGTGAGTCCCAGTCGACGTCCAGCGCCGTTATTACAGAGTCCGACGCTCTTAAGAGCGAGTCCGGCGCGGTCCCAAGGTGCCGTGAAGCCGCTGCACTTGCCGAGTCCCGTACGACCACCGAGGAGCTCGGTCTTCTTGGCCAGTCCAGCAAGGCTGAAGCCCCGTGGCGCTGGCATCGCTGCAAGTCCATTGAGGAGACGTCAAGAGCTGTTCACGAGTCCATTGAGACGCGGAGGCGCCGCCGCGCCGTCGCCCAAGCGGCCGCTTGTGTTTGATGATGCAGCGGTGGAGACAGGACGGGCTACAAGAGCTGGTGGACAGCCGCCGCTGTTGTGCGCAGCGCTGGAACAAGTGGAAGCAGAGACCGCGGTCACAACGACGCTGACGATGAAAAGCGGGACGAAACCCACAGCCAAATCGCCGTTCCAGTCGTTCCAGGCCAAAGTGAGGCAGTCGCCTGCAAAGCTTGCACGGGTGATGACTAGTCCAGGATGCGAACTTGGACAGGACAGCCAGTTGACACGCACTGAGGCAATGTCGGTCAGACCGCGCGCGGGTCCCATGTTGGTGGACCTAACGCATTCAGGCGGCGCTGTGGCCTCAGACGCTAAAGCGACGACAAGTACGGCTGCTGTTATGGAAAGTGGTAGTGCTGGTGCTACATCCGTGGGTCGGAGTTCTAGCGTTTCCACGTGTATATCCAAGCCGATGCGCCAGTTCCTGTCATCTACAACTCGTCCCGTCGTTGCGCAAAAATCGATCTGCTTTTCAACGGAAGGCGTGGCAACAGCGCTGGATGTGACGCCAGACGGTGAAATTATTGTCGTTGGGTTTATAGACGGCTCGGTGCGGCTGTATGAGATGGACAGTAGTGTCCCCAGTGACCGTCACGGATATTTGCTTGGTCACATTGACGAGCAGTCTGCACAGGGTTCGTCTAGTGCCCACTTGCGAGTGAAAATCTCGCCTGACGGTCGTTACGTCTTTGTCGGTTGTCGACAAGGCCCGCGTGTTGTCATGAGCATCAATCTGGACCATTACCGAAGCGAAAAAGGTGCGTTGTTGTTGTTTCTTTTACAGTAGACGTGTCTGTTGTATGATCTGATTAGTTTACTATTTTCAGATGGCGACGACGACAATTTTGAGCAATGCCATAAGCACTTCCATTCAAACGGCAAACTCCGGGTGAGTTAAACGTTCTGGTACTGTGAGGGGTCTGTTTCGTGCTCATGCGTGCGTCGGTGGTGTTCGCACCTTGCAGGGATTTGCTGATGTGACCACATACGTCCCACAAGCCAATTCTCCACATGGAGAGCAGCAAGAGAGCAGAAACAAAAGGTACTCAGAGTTTGTAACCGCTTACCGTAGTGGTGTATTCGGCCATCGGAATTTCTCAACTGATTGCATTTATTTTGTCTTCGCTTGTAACGACAGATCTGCATATTACATTCTCACTGGACTTGGCGTTGGCAATCTGAACTTGTGGCGCTTTGTGGAGCCGGAACTGCACCAGCAAGAACCGATTTGGGAACATTTGCAAAATTTTGGTGCTGGAGGTAACACAGCAATGACAGGGGCTTTTCTGCCGTCAAGCATCTCTCCTGGCGTATTGACCATTGCAGCTGTTTGCAAAGACAAAAATGTCCGTGTGTGGCCGCTGGAATTTATGAAGCAGTCATCGAGCTCAACTGGGAAGAGCAACGACGAGTGTGCAGCAGAACCCGGTGACATTGGATCTTTTGAAGGAAACCACGCTGTGACTTCTCACTTTAACATCCCAAATACCTCGGATGTCATTGCCATTCACGGTCAGTACGCGTACGGAATTTCACTCATGGGTGAAGCCTACCGGATCTACTTTCCAGACTCATCAAATTTGCACTCCAGCTCTTTGGAGCAAGCACCTCGCCAAGAGTTTGAGCTGGAAAAGATTGATGGTGGTGGCGGTAGTACATCGCGTCGATCTAACGTTATGCTTGAGTCACTTTCGGCAAGTGATGACGGCAAGGCCATCATTGCCGTCTCTACTGAGGGCATTTTCTACTACTCGAACAAGTTACCCGACGTAGGTTCTAGCGGGGTGGCAGGTCTGTGCATCATTGGCAAGAATGCCTCGGAAAATACGCTGTTCAAGACCCCAATGAAGGTGTATACGCCACATATTACGTTGAATGGCAAGAAAGCACAGTCCGAAGCTATGATGGCCGTGGTAACAAATCCAGGTAACGAAGATATTGAGAAAGACGACGGCTATATTAACGTCGACCCTACGGAGGCGTTTGCAGCGCGGTGGATGGTTCCGAGTCGTGGGAATAGTTGTTGGGTGTGTGGCGTCCGTAACACGAGGCACTGGGTAGGACCACCCGAATCAAAGACTAAAGAACTACATCGTGCACAGTTGGCGTGTGACCAAAAAGAAAAGTTAAAATGCCAGCGGCGGCGAGAAAGAGCATTGAAGCGAGCAAAGGGTCTTATTACTCAACCAAAAATCAGTTGCAACGTTGACGATGAAGAAACGAAAGTGTGTGGCAAGGCCAAAACGACGCCGTTGCCAAGCGAGAAAAAGGCTGTGGCGCCAAAACACACAAATGCTCACTTTGATGCTAATTCCGACACGGAAGCAGCTCGACCACCATCAGGCAACAGACGCCAAATTTGTGGTGTTGATGATGATGGCAACGAGGATTACACGGGTAGCGACGACAACACCCCTTCTACTGCCTCTCTTGTTAGTGAGCTTGAGCATCTCAAGAAGCGCAATGCAGAGATTAAGACTGAGTGGCAGCGACGGTTGCAAGGAGAGCGGCAACTTCGTCGCAAGTGGAAGCAGCGCGAAGAAGAGTTTCTTGACCAGCTCAACGACTCGTTGACGAAATTGGATGCTGCAGAGGTGGAAGGGGATCGTCTACGAGTGCTACTGCGTGACGCAGAAAAGCGATTTGCGTTCGAGAAGGCGTGTACGGAGCAGGAGAATTCGGTAAAGGCAAGGTACGAGCAACTCTGTGAGCACATGAGCGATAAGCTGGCGCTCGTGGCCGACCAGAAGCGCTTATTGGAGCAGACAACGCGCAGCTTATTGGCAGAAGTGGACCGCAACGTGCACGCACTAAAGAACGCCGTGATCCTCGAGAAGAGCGAGTGTGTGGTGTGCAAGGATCAGCAAGCTGTGACTGCCGTCGTGCCGTGCGGCCATTTGTGTTTTTGCGAAACGGACGCCGAGACGTATCGGCGCAGCTGCACGTCAGAGTATCCCACGTGCCCAATTTGTCAGCAAGAAATTGTCTCGCTTCTGCGAATTTATACATAGATTAAGAACTAGATAACGATCTAATACGACAAAATGCTTAAGAGCTTAATCAATCAGCACGTTTAGATCCTTAAGCCCTACTTTATTTATCTACCGCCGTCGGAAATTTCTATACTATTTTTTTGTAAGCTCCAGTCAATAAGCTAGGCTTTTATAGACTATCCCCACTTCCTCTATTTGACTGGTTCGGAGAGCTAGATTATTATTGTCAAAAAGACTCTTTCTTATCAAGTTCTAAAACTAGAACCCATGGGCGATTACGGTCAATATGATGTGCCTAAGGCAGATGAAATGATCAACTTTAAGGTCGGTCAACCTGCTCCCTCCATGCTGCCGCTGGACAAAATTCGTGAAGCTGCAATGCTCAAATTTAGCGAAACAGACCCGATGTTTCTACAATACGGTGTGATTAAGGGCTATCCTAAATTCCGTAAAACACTGGCTCAGTTTTTAACGAAAGGGTATCAGCATGAAGTGGATCATGAAAAGCTTTTTGTGACCAATGGTGTGACTGGTGGTCTCGCCCTCATTTGCTCACTATTTCTACAGTCGGGCGACCTTGTGTTCATGGAGGAACCGTCCTATTTCCTAGCACTTAGTATCATGAAAGATTTCAAGGTGAATGTTCGTCAAATCCGCATGGAAGAAGACGGACTGGACATTGACGAGCTTGAGCGGCTGCTAAAGCGTGGCGTTGTGCCCAAGGTGCTGTACACGATTCCCACGTGCCATAACCCGACGGGTCGCACGCTCTCGCTCGAGAAGCGCAAGCGCCTCGTGGACCTCAGTGCCAAGTACAACTTTGTCATTGTGGCTGATGAAGTGTACCAGTTGCTGTCGTTTCCTCACGTGACGCCGCCTCCACCCATGTTTACATTCGACGAGCACGATACGGTGCTTGCTCTTGGCAGCTTTTCCAAGATCCTGGCACCTGCTCTTCGTCTTGGCTGGATCCAGGGCTCGCACAAGCTGTTGAACAAGATTGAAGCTTGTGGTCAACTGGACTCGAGCGGGGGTATCAATCCTGTGATTTCAGGAATTGTGCACTCGGCCATTGCAACTGGGCTGCAGCAGCAGCACTTGGATACAACCGTACAGACGCTGTGGGAGCGTGCTGACGCTCTGATGACGGAACTGAAGGCTCATTTGCCCGATGGTGTGACTTTTGAGGTCCCGGATGGCGGCTACTTTGTGCTCGTGCGGCTACCGGAAGGCATGAACGCCAATCGTTTGTTGTCAATTGCTGAGAAGCACAAGGTGATGTTCTTACCGGGTGCCTCGTTCAGCAGCAACATGAAGAACTTTCTGCGTCTCAGCTTCTCCTGGTATGACTTGAACGACATGCAGCTCGGTGCTCGCCGTCTTGCTGACGCAATCCGTGAATACCAGGAAGTGTTTGCTTCCGAGCAGAAGGCTGTTGCAGAGGATGCTACGCTCAGCACGAGCGAGGGAAAAGGCGTGCGTGTTGCCGTACACGGCCACGACGGCCGCTTGGGCTCGCTCATTGTCAGTGAGCTGAACAAGCTGACAGATCACAGCGCTTGTTTCGCAGGCGCAATCGTCACGCGATTCGACACTGGTGTCCAGGCTCCAGACCTCAACATTGTGGACGTCGTCGTTGATGCGACGTTACCTGCTGGTACGAAGAAGGTGATTTCTTACCTTCGTGAACAGAAGGATGCTGGCAAGATCAACAAGTTGCCTGCACTGGTCGTTGGAACTACAGGCGCTCTGCCGATGGAGGATCTCGAAGCCTATTCAAAGCTGGCCCCTGTCGTTCTCCGCTCGAACTTTTCCGTGGGTGTGCCGCTTGTGTCGGAGCTCATCCAGGCTGCTGCTTTCAAGCTGCCAGCTGAGGGCTGGAATGTCGAGGTAACGGAGATTCACCACACCAAGAAGGTGGATGCCCCAAGCGGCACCGCCAAGACGCTTGTCAAGTCGCTTGCTGCCACGGGTGCTCCGTGTTTGGGTGAGACGGGTCAGGCCTCGACGCACTCATTGCGTCTCGGTGATGAAGTTGGCAAGCACACGGTGCTGTTTGCTGGTCCGGGCGAACGTATTGAGATCGTGCACCAGGCAACTCGACGCGAGATTTTTGCGATTGGGGCTGTGCGTGTTGCGACGCAGGCTCCTTCGCTGCCGCTTGGTTTGCACTCGAACTGAATTGATTGATCGCATGGGTCGAGAAGTCACGCTTTAGTGTACCCGAGCACACGTGATCCGCTTGTCTCGTTGCTCAGTGTAGTGACGTCTGCACTTGCTGCATTTGCAATGAGGACCATTCGTGCCTTTCAATAAAGTTGTTCTGCTGTACATTTGGCTCTCACCGTACTGAAAATTGAAGGAGGGTGCCGTCTTGGTCCCTATCAAAGGATGCTAGAGCGCGTTTGAGTACGCATTCAAGTCTTGAATGTTGAGGACCAGAAGGCCTTTTTCGGACGGCTGCGTTTTACTAAAAGGCTTTATCTATAACATCGGGCTCGTTGCAGCGCAAGACTGCGTCGTTTACGAATGATATCACCCGTTTTTATCTTGTCATCGTTGAAGTTCGCTCGGGCTCTGCCAAGTAGTCTCGAGTCCGTGCACTTGACGTTGTTAGCTGCATTGTCCATCGTGACATGCGATTGGGATGCTCCTTTTCACAATCGAAACGATCGAAGACCATCTTGTTCTCTGCTGCCTGACCCCAAAGATCCTGTTTGACTAGTTACGTCCACTTTCACCAGCAGGGCACAACACTGATCGATCGGTGAACCAGGTGCAGATAGCGGCAAAAAGTGAATGTCCACGACAAAGTTGTTATCGCTTGCACTCAACGACAATGTAGACGAGTTCACACTTGGAATGTCGAAATACGTCGGGAGTGATCGACCTGGGTGAGATTCGGGAATCGACCAATGATCAGCGGGAGCAGGTCAGCATGTGCTTTACAAATGGATTACCATCGACACGTAATGTACGGAGGAGTCTGGAAGCTCGTCCACATCAATCCCTTCAATGTACTTCATTGACAAGTCTGAGAACTTCAGCTGCAGCCACAAGCAAGAAAACCGACTGTCAACTATGAGCGAGGCTAAATGAATGAAAGCTTATACCGCAGAAGTTGAACGTACATTGGTCAAGAGCTTGAGGTTCATGACTTTACGAAGGCGAATGCCAGCGAGTGCAAGCAACGTGAGTTGTTTCTGACCGTCTAAGTCTTCAATCGCCGCGATTCAATTGCATTGTAAATAGTGCTCAATGACTTTTTTCGTCCTCGATGCAACCAACGTTCCAAGTCGCAAATCATTCCATGACGTTGCAAATGCTTTTGGAATCTGCAAAAACTCTTTCGATGAACTCGTCGTTTCTTCATCGTGAACTCCACAAGTCGTCGTTATTTATCATCCAGCACAAACGTGATTGATCCGCACTATCTCTCGCGACCTTGAAGTGTGAAAACAAGTATCCATACGATCTTGGAAACACTTGTTACGACGGACGCCGCCATTTGGTGTCGAGAGCGCGTATCAGACGTGATACGGGTAGTCGACTTTCCGATGATAGTTCTGCGCGTGTTTTGGCCAAGCTCTAGCGTGACCAGATCAAGTTGTTCGTACCGACTTGTGGGTGCACGTGACACTGCTAGTGATTGTCCAGCGCTATGCAGACGCTCTCGAGCGCGTCCAAAGCTCTTCGCGAGCGTAATGTTCATATCACCGCTTTGCGTTCAAATACATGCCTGGTGACGAGTGCCGGATGTTCGAATGCATCTTCGTGAACAGAGTAGCGTGACAGGTTCGTCGGGACGGAAAGCCAGCCATTCAGCGGACATTCCACAACCGAGCGTATGTGCGCCACCTTTTCTAAACCCAAGCACCGCCAACCGATAGTTGCTGTCGCTAAAATCTCCACGAATCTTCGTTAGCGATGCAGAAGGAGCAAACTCTTGCGTGTGTTTTTACAGCGCCTGCAATGCAAGTTCACTTGCATGCTGGTATGTGGATAGATGTCAACTTTTGGCCGTCTCAAATTTCTGGCAATTGACATCGAATAACTACGCGCTGAGGAGGACGAAGTCAACAACAAAAGCGATGACTTTACCGGCAAACTTACAGCCATGAGAGGCGAAGTGGTGTTGGATGCTGTTGGAGAAATTGCACAAGCAAACAGAAGCAGAACAACTAGAAAGTGAGAGGGCTGTCAGACTAAAACTGCATCCGAGACTAGTCAAGTGTCTGCATACGCTACACACGTTTACCGTCACCGAGATCTGCAGGCATCGAAATATGCAGCTTGCCCATGCAGATATCCACTGTCACTCTTGTTGACCTGCCGTGAAGAAAACACAGTCGCAAAAATGGTATCCGGTCAACGGCGGACAAGTTGTCAACCTCACTGGTCGTCAGTGAGGCAGAAGACAATGGTTGACCTTGCAGTATGCCACACATCATGCATGAGAAAGTCTTTGCTGGTGAAACCTTGATGCAATCCCATCAGGAATACAAAGGTGTCTCTCGCAATCCGTGCGACTTGCTCATCCATTATCAACGCTTGGATATCTTTATAGCTTCACATCTTCACTTGCACACGCAGTGCAGTCTGCCACGTCGTCATGTCGAAAAAAAAGATGAATGCTATTGAAACTGCCGCACAAAAATAGCAGCATAACCTTGACATTGTATTTTCAAACCCAATTGCCTCGACTTCGATTGACGCCAACTCCTCACTCGTCGCTAATCTTCTTGAGATCGTTCATGTTTGTCCCTGCTAGAGGCTCGCCTAAAATAATACGTAAAACACAGCAGATAATAGATTCCAAACACAAAAACAGTATCAAAAAAACCCATCGATCGTGATCCGGATAAACCGTCAGGGATGGATAAAATAACATCCAAACCAGGTTCATCAAACAAGCGAAAACTACATGTATCCACTGTACCAAAGAAGGTGAGACTCGAAATGACCGTCTCGTCAGCGCCATAATTCGCCTCGACAAAAAGCGTGATGTTCTTCACGCTCTGGAACTTGACAAAACGTAGCTCGACGTCGTTTTCAGGAAGAAAATCCGATTTTTTTAGCTCAATCGTCTGCACGGGTTCAACGTCCGAGCCGTCCGAGAAGCTGAGATTTGGGCGGTTTACAATCAGCTTGATGATCCGTGGCGCTTCGTCGCTTGCAGGGGCCACGAGATTGAGCGAAAAGAGCTTGACAGGATCTTGGAACTCGATATAGAGCATCAATTGCTCTAGTGGATTATATACACACACATTTTGTCCGAAAAAACCCGATTAGAACTGGTTGGATAATCGATTGGATAAAACCATGGATTTTATCTATATCCGTCGCTCGCTGGCGTACCATCAGCGTCCGACTTGAGCTGCAGCGTCTCGTCTCCACAGAAGATATTGCGAAAGGGATGCTGCCGATCTTCGTTCAAGCAGTAGCAGTTCGGAAGGCTGATGGTGTCTTTCAGGTCACCGTAAGGCCGGGTCTTAGACGCTGATGTCGAGCTCATGGCTACACCCTCCTTTAGGATTTTATCAGCTGAGCTCGGACGGGGTACGCGAGATCGAAGGGGTACGCAAGATCGAAGGGGTACGTTTTTCAGCCACCGAACGGGAAAAAATAAAGGATGTTTTGTATTTCAGCATGATTTTAGAGAAAGATACGTGTGTGGTAAACTCAGCACACGTTTCTAATGCAGATTGATGAATTAAGTGACGACGACTTCTTTACGACTGCGTTCAACCTCCTCAAAGTTTGTACTGAATGCCGCATTTTTAAAGCGCTGCTGTAGTGAGTGAGTCCGACACTAGCATCCAACGACTGGTCAACGTTTGACCGCGCAGTGTCACCACGGCACAATGCATTACTATAACCGTGTGGAGTTGCGCTCTAGCTAGTTTTGCATGGTACAAGTGTGCGACGCATATCGCGAACCTTTCCGACAGCTCAAGCACATCGCCGTGCACGTTTTCAACTCGTGGCACCGTTGAAGCCTCATTACACGACATGTAATCGCATTTGCCACGTCATCCTGAGGTTCACAGTGGCTCACATTGTCAACCCTTTGTCTCCATGGAATGACGTAATTGCGCTATCGAAGCTTGTGCTGATAAATAGTTTCGAGGGATACTTCGCACCTCGGATAACCCCTTTTCGAGCTCATGACCTTTTCCAGAAGGGTGTATGTACCTTCGGTCACACTGACGAACGATGCGTTTTATGTCAGACACAAACAAACCTTACGAAAGGCGTAGCCTTATTGACCCATCGAATGTTTTGCTTTTTATGCAGCTAATCGAGTGTCTCGCTTGATCTCCGCTATGCGTGTCGCAACAATTGTTCACGAAATTTGGCGTCATGAGTGGATCCGAAGGGACTCACGCTGTGATTCGGAAACATGAAGTGCGAGTTAAGATAGCAGTGGCTAGAACGGTTCCCCATATCTAAGTAACAAGCTTCTTCTCGTTTCCTAAGGCATCCTCAATAGGTACTTATCATGTCTATCCAAATACATCGAACTCAGTAAGTCAACTATCAACATGACACTTTGCAGTATGTATGGGGCCATAGCATCGTTAGTCATAGATGAGTTTGTGTACACTGAAATCCTTGTTCGACGCAGAGGTACTCTAACTGTTAAGAGCAATAGAAAGTAACAGCGATATAGCAAAGAGACAGCCCAGTCAAAACCTCTTTTCATTCCAAGTTGTCATCTTCACGGGCTACAGTTTACGGTCGGTAGCTAGTACAAAGCAGCACTGAAGACGGTCGAAGTGAAGACGTCCGCATCCCGTGAAATGATGTTGCGCTGCATGAACTGCTGAGAGATGAGATCACTAACCAGCTCTCTGCTCTGTTGTTTATAACAGTTTGCTCAATACATGTTTGCACGGGATGGTGTTTTGGAACTGACATTTACATGTACATGCGCACTTGGCTATTCCTAGTGCACACTACTACTCTTGCAGGTGCTGTACATGGTCCCACATCTTCTCACTTACGCACGCTTCTAGACCAACCGACTATTTTGTCATTCAGACCCTGTCGCATCTCACCCACCAGGATCTGGTAACGTCGCACGGACCCTGTCACTGTGCACCATTAGCTTTTTGGCAACTGTCGCTATGTGGCACCTATCGCTGTATATGCAAACCACAACACGCCCTCCTCAACTTGCAATCACTCGTTATGCGCAGTCGATGCACTTGATCGTAGCCTGCCGAGCTTCGATCAGTTGCACTGACTGTATGGCTTCATCTGTAAGTCCGATGAGTCGCATCAAGTGGTGAATCCTATCTGCACTGTTTGTATTCGTAAGAAGGTCTGCAGCGTTTTTAGCCGTGTCAGCCGACCGAATGTCGGATCCATCGCCTGTGTCATCGCGTTCAAGTTGTCGACGCCCATCTTCACTGCGATGCTCTGATTCGTCACGCTCATTATGTTTTCAATGACGCTGCGAAGAGACGCTGCTTCCATAGCTGCTTTACACGATGTTATGTACTCCTCTTCTGCTGTGCTCAGTGCAACGACGCTTTGAAGCCGTGAGAGCCATGACACGGCGCAACCCGCGATAGTAAACAAGACTCCAGTAAAACTGTGTCTAGAGCATGGATCACCGCCCCAATCGCAGTCACAACATCCTTCTACAATAATTTGACTTGCACTTCCATCTTGGCGCTTGTAGCTCAATCGGTAGATCACGCACTTGGAAAATAGCGAAATACTCGCTTCACTGCTCCAACATGCTCGCTACTCGTACGACTCACCCAACCAACTGAGCAATCCAACTGCAAACGCGATGTCTGGTCGCGTTGACGTGGCCAGATACAGAGCTCCCCTACTTCCGCTCGGTACGGACAGGAAACCGTGTCATTTCTTGCCTCCGGTTCTTCATGCAAAAGTTGCGTGGTGCAATCCACGGGGTTGCCGACTGTGCAAATTTTTGTGTATCTAAACCGCTCGAGAACTTCACGAGTAAGCTAAGCCTGTGGCAAACAGTAGCTGAAGTCACTGCGATCAATCTTCACACCAAGATACTGCATTGCTTGTCCGCGATCTTTGACACCATACTGCTTATTTAGCAACTTAAACAGATTGTCCTTCTGCTCTACAGATTATGTTGCCGCGAGTACATCCTTGACGTAGACCGGCGTCAGACACACCTCTCCATTTTTCCAACGTACGTATAAGTAAGGCTCCGTTTGTCCATGCTCAAAATCTTACGCTGTAGACGGCAATCTATTTCCGTGTTCCACGCTCATCCATCTTGACGCAATCCGTACAGCACTTTCCTAACTATTTAAAATGCTTTGCTACCATCATTTACGTGACCTTGAATGCGATTTACGTACCGTTGAATTTGTAAGTCCACATTGAGATAAATTGTGTTTACGTCACACCTGTAAACTTCCAGATTCAACAGCGCCGACAGTGATACAAACAAGCGAAACGACGCCATGCGAGCCACCGGTGCAAATGTGTCAACAAAAATCAACACCTGTGCGTTACCTGTCACCGCGTGCGACGATCAGAACTTAAAATCGAATCACTACTCTTTGCTCGTTTGTCTTCACCGCATAGTCCCACATCGTCATCAATAGGTTTGTAGAAGATGGAACCTCAGCTACGTCAATTACTTCGAGAGCTCCTTTATTTTTGAGTGCCTTGAGCTCCGGTAATTCCTCGTCACGCCACTTGCTGCGTACTCAGAATTCATTTCTTCCGCATGGGTCTTTGACATCCTGAATTGGTTTTTTTGCGTATTACTCAAACCCCGTCATCAGGATCACATGTTGTTAATTGAACGACGAAGTCGTTAAAACGCGATGGCAATCGACACAAAAATTTCTGCCGTAACCCTTCACGTCGCTTCTTGACTTCCACAATGCCCGTGTTACTGCCTGTCGATGACACCTGTGCACGCTTGCGCTTTTCCAGCTCCACTCGAACCGCGAGTTTCGCCGCGCTGCATGCGGTCTTCTTATCATCATCTACCTTGTACTCGTTTAAGCCAACCGATCCTTGCTCTCCATCAATCGATCCAATCCGTACACATTCATCTTCACTCAATTCTTGGTTACTCTTTTCGATTTCGACTGTCTCACTGACATGACTATTTTCCGATGTTGTTGCTGACGCTTGGCCTATTGTTGAACCAGATTCCGACCGTAAACTTGCTTCTGACGTATCATTTAGTACACCAATATTACCCGGGTTACCGAAAATTTCACCAATACCTGGTTCCATTGTTGCTTTAACGGGGCACTCTTTGTTTGGGTGCCACGAAACTTTACGTACACCCGTACGTGCAGTGAAAGCTAATTTACTCATGCAGCTAGTTTGAATTAAGGTAAAAAGAGAACTGCATTCGATATTGTTAACCTATCAATATAACTTCAGTCTTTATCCAATTTTACTATTCTACATTGTCATCAGACGACAACCTGCTCACCACTCATTACGCGCATCTAGCAGCGATTTGTGATAGTCTTGGTTGATACGTCTTTTATCAACCAATCTTCAAGGAGCACGTGAATATAATCCTAAGGTATTAGTTCCTTCAATATTACCTATCTCGGGTAATATTGGCAAAGAATTGCCACGCTAGACAATCTCCCTATTGACACCGTTTGGTGACAATATCATGTAATGGGCTACCCCGTTACAGTTGCACCTTTCCATCCCTGATCATCGACTGGCGTGTCAGAGACAGGCGCGCCAGAATGAGCATCAGAATCGATGTCACGTAAGTCATCGCTGTCACGTACGTATTTGCACATACTGGTTACGTCTTCGACTTCATCGACGCCGCTGTCGCCCTCTTCGATGAGTGTATCTGTAACGGGGCACCCTGAAGCTTGTACTGGTGACAGTACAAGCTACTTATTCTGATGATAGAATAAGGCGGTGCCTCCGCCCTCTTCGATGAGTGTATCTGTAACGGGGCACCCTGAAGCTTGTACTGGTGACAGTACAAACTACTTATTCTGATGATAGAATAAGGCGGTGCCTTCACGTACACTCGTACGTGCAGAGGAAGACGGTAAGAAGGATCGAGTACTTGGTTAAAGTAAAAAGTAGAACTGTATTTTTAATAGTTAATGTCTGCAATAAATCACTATTTATCTTCATCTAACTGTGTCTAAATACAAATGTGTAAATCAACTATCTGCTCACCACTCATTGCGTGCGTCTGTCGTGGCGCGTCTTCGTTGGTTGATATAATGGCCCATATCATCCAATTAGGAACTACTCGTAAGTGCTACAGAATATTTGTCCTTATGACAATATTCTGAGAATTTAACTTTTATAGTTATATTCTATTAACAATTTCTAATAAATTGTTATGTAACGATTCACCTCGTTACAGTATCGCAAAAATCGACGGTTTTGGATTCCGTGTAGTCCTGAGTGCGTCGGTCACGATAGAGAACGTTCTCTTTCACCCGAATATCAGGCACGTATTTCCGCGTGCGTTCATCCGGAAAGTAGAGTTTGCAACCTACAATGTCTTCTGTGTAACTCAAAACATACTCGATCTTAGTGTTACTGCGCAGCCTGTGAAAATGTGCTTTAGCTTTCACGTGCGTACACTCCAGCTAACTAAAAGTCTGTGGATGATGAATGTCTGGTCTCATTCCAAACATTGTTGCGTACGGTGTGCTTGCGCATCCACGAAAAAATATACGATTTTTAATATAGACTGCGTATTGAAGCGCACCCGTCCAAAATATTCGAGACGTGCCCGAGTGTTGCAACATTACTCGCGTCATCCCCATTCTTGTATTTTGTACGCGTTCGCATGGATTCTGCTGCGAACTGGATGGTCCAACTTGTACATGTTCAATACCTCGGACATTCAAACACTGCTTGAACTCGGAACTCGCGAGCTCACCCCCTTTGTCCATTAGTAGTTGTCGTACTCGAAATGCAGCCCTTGTATCGCCGATGTTTCCGCTCGCATGACGACGAGCTTTTCGTCCAGCCCAAACAAAATACTGCTTCAGCGCATAAGCCACCACTCTTGCTGATTTCGGGTGTAGCATGTACGTTGTCACAAACTTGCTAAATACATCCACGATTGCCAAAACTCTCTCCTCCCTTATAAATTGTTACTATTAAACCTTATTTAATTTTCTGCACCAACTTTGTGCCACAAGATACGCCCGGCACTAGCAAATCCGCATAAACAATTTGATCATTGTGTCACAATGTTGCAGTCCAGAGACTTCTTGAATGACTTCCGTACTTGCTTTGCGAAGTGACACGTCTCGCAATTATGTACATCTCGTCCTGAGATCATCATACCATCGACGAGTTTTCTATCCATAATCAGCTTGGTGTACTGTGGGCACACATGACCCAAGCGTTTATGCCGCAATTGCAGATCAGCGACACCATCTCGAGTCGTAAAGCTTATCACGCGCGTCTCGACACTTTTGCCAACCTTGTCACAAGATGCAATTTTTCCCTCGAATATCCAAACAGATTCGACTTCGTCTTCTTGTGCCACCGATTCGTTGTTCCTTAACATGGTAAATCGGTGCGTGTTCGAGTCCCACATAAGCTTAAATTTATTATCGAGTGCACTTCCAACCGACAAAAGCGGGTGATCGAGCCAGAACAAGGAGTACATCGTCGATCATAGTATGGACTGTCTTTCCTTCAACAAATGTCTCAAGTACAATCGTTCCAACACCATCTGATTTGGCCTGGAACCTCGGTCTAACGCCACGCACAGTCTCTTCGTCGATCAAGAGCTCCCTATGGTGAATATAATACCGCTCGTCACCGACCACATGAGTGTTTGATGCGGTGCCGATGTACCACTCCTGCATCTCGACAGCATTGGTTTCTTGATCTTCTTCATTAATGCACTCGCCATCGTGCACATGTCCCAATTCACTGGTTCCCATTTCATGATCCTCACCAAAGATACCAAGCACGTCACGTAGCGTAAAGTTTGTAATTATATTGCGTTTGCCGTTTAGAAGCGCGCACCGCCTATATCATTCTGTCATTGTTGCATTGTCATATTTGAACAATAAGAATAACCTCTCTTCAGAAGCTCGTTGCTGCTGCACATGTAGCACTTCTTTTGCTTTTCCTTCTCTCTATCCAGTCCTTCCGCCACGTCTTTAAACGCATCGAATCATTTTCGTCTACCACCCTATGCACTTTTCTTACGGTCGCACTGATTTTCCGCGTCCCTGCGCCTTGTGCATATAAAAGCGCTAATGCCAAATCCGCTCTTGGCCTCTTCTTGCAGAGCTGCAGCTATTCGAATCAGCTCGCGAATCTTCTCGGGATAATTAACCGCCACCTAACCCGCAAACCATACAATTTGTCTCAGTTAGTTAGATTGAGTCGTTGTCGGCAAACTAGACAACAGATCTTCACGCATACAGAGTTCGTTCACGGTGTACTAGAGAACGGCCAGATCCTATTTGAGGTTTGACATTCTTGCCAGATGCGCATTCACATTTCCACATTCCCACAACTTCGTATTCCAGAGATTATAAATCGGCTGTCGTACACGGTGCCCTCGAGTTGTGGGGTCGGACTTGTCCTCGAACATAGCCACCAAAGGCTTTTAAAGCTCTAATGCTGTTGTGTGCTAGCGCACCTGATGTAACAGATCACGCGATAGTCTTGTAAAGATGTAGCGCTCTGCATGGAGCTGAAGTTTATCGTATGTGTAACGGGGTGAATCGTTACATAACAATTTATTAGAGATTGTTAATAGAATATAACTATAAAAGTTAAATTCTCAGAATATTGTCATAAGGACAAATATTCTGTAGCACTTACGAGTAGTTCCTAACTGGTTGATATAGGCCATTATATCAACCAACGAAGACTCGCCACGACAGACGCACGCAATGAGTGGTGAGCAGATAGTTGATTTACACATTTGTATTTAGACACAGTTAGATGAAGATAAACAGGGGCCTTATTACAGACATTAACTATTATAAATGCAGTTCTACTTTTTACTTTGACCAAGTACTCGCTTCTTCTTACCGTCTTCCTCTGCACGTACAAGTGTACGTGAAGTTCCTAGGCACTGCCTTATTCTGTCATCAGAATAAGTAGCTTGTACTGTCACCAGTACAAGCTTCAGGGTGCCCCGTTACACCTGGTAGCACTTTGTAGTCCATCCAAGGACCACGTTCACATCTAACATGAATGTGTTGGATGATGAAGATGACCAAAGCTTTCACGCTACGCGTGACGGCTACTCTCATTTAAGCGATGTCGAATGGGATGCGGTTGAACGGATGGGTTCAACCATGAGCATCCATGCTGTTAGCGTCATGCTAGAGGCTCTCAATAGAGATGCCCAACATGCTACTATCGCCAAGTTCATTCAAAATGAACTTGACGCTGAACGCGAGAAAGTAGCCTTGCTTCACCAACAAGGTTCTCAACAAGCAGAGTTGTTGAGAGAACAGGGTGCTCAACAGTTTGAACTGTTGATACAGCAGCAGGCTGCTTCGGCAGTTTGAACTGTTGAGACAGCAGCAGGCTGCTGCTGGTGGGCCGATGCACTCGCGTCGACCCGAGACCTTGAAGATTGACATCTCCAAGTATAGGGGAGTCGAAGAGGACTCCCTCCTGAGATGGTTCGTCGAATTAGACGACGCCGTAAGGGCGCGTCGCATCGACGACGGGGAAATGCAAGTTGCATTTGCCCAATCAAATCTGGCAGGACGTGCCAAGACTTGGGCATTGGGGCTCAAGTTGCACGACCCATATGCGTTTGGGTCGTTCGAAGTCTTCAAGTCGCGGCTCAGACAAACGTTTGAACCGCCTAGAGCCGAGTTCAGAGCTCGAACCGAACTCTTGAAGCTCAAACAAGGTAAGCGTGATGTGCACGCTTACGCGCAACATATGCGACATCTCACGAGTTGTATAAGTTCCAACCCGGTGGATGAACACACGTTGGTTTCGGTGTTCATGCAGGGTCTTGCGGATGGTCCCGTCAAGACTCACCTGTTCCGACTTGAACTAGATTCACTAGAACAAGCAATTTCCATTGCGGAATAGGAAGACTTCGGTCTAAGACAGGCTCGCGCCAGCTCGACGTCATATCGTCAACCGAGACGATATGACAGCGGAGGTCCAGAGCCGATGGAACTCTGTTATGTAGAGAGCGAGAAGGCTCGCTCTACAGACTACAAGAAGGTGCAGAAAAGCAACAGATGTCAAAAGACAGGACACTACGCTTACGAGTGTAGTTCCCCTCGTCCAGTGTCTCGCAGCACTGGGCGTACTGATCGTCCACCCATGAGAAAGGGGCAGGGACGCGGGTCCGCTGTTGGTGCAAAGACGCAACAATGGGATGGACCGTCCAAAAACGGACAGGATCAGTAGGTGCGGAGCACCCTACTGGTCCAGCAACGTCAAGAGAATTTGTAGGCCTCTTGATGAAGGTTGCTCCCAACACACAAACGTTGTGCGTTGCTGCTCTAGGTAATGAGATTTCACTCATTATTTTGAGACTCGAAGTGACGAATAAGTTGTCCCTTCGAGCTCTAGTCGATTGTGGGGCGTCCAACAATTTTGTGCGACGCCAATCTCTAGAAGATGGTCACTTTAAGTTCAGTGAATGTGACACACCTCCTACGAGGATGACGGTACGTCTTGCGACAGTCGCATCCGTAACCGTCATGAAGCGTATAGTGAAGATTCACTGTACGCTAGAAGATACCCAATATGACGATGACTTTATCGTATTGGATTTGGATGACAAATTTGATGTCATCCTTGGAATACCGTGGCTCAGAAGGTACGAACCACGGGTAAACTGGCAACATCGAACAGTAACGATGCCTGCCGCTCGTTCATTAGATGGCCATCTGATGAACGTTTTGGAGCGTCCACAAGCGTGTGGATGTACTACGAGTGAGTGCGATGGCCTCACTTGTGGTACGGTCGTTAGTACGACTGCACAAAACCTTAGTGTAACAAACGGTTACACTTCGGATCAAAGTTCCTGCGGCTGTGAGGAAACACAGGCTGCGCCGAAGGTCCACCACTCGAATAAGTCGGGTGGACTGGAACAAAGATGTATCTCTAGCGGGGAACATCGACAAGAGAAACAATCGATCGCTCAGGTTAAGCGAAACGATAATCCTAGATCGACTGGAGAGTCTTTCGTAGAGGATCTCGCTGTGGTTGCGCAGCCCCGGCTAGAGGAGGTAAAGGGAATAAGTCCCAAGTTTACAAATACGGCGGAAATAAGTTCCCCGAAACCCGCGGGAATAAGTCCCCGGGAAGCCGAAGAGGAATAAGTCCTTCGAGGCCTGAGAGAATAAGTCCCCAGGAAATGACAGAGACATTGAATGTCCTAGTCAATAACGGATCGAGTGTAGGCGCTTATACACTTGATCTGATTGCGCCTCCGAAGTTGACTTCGGAGATCACTCAGTTGCCAACGCTCGAACATAAAAGGTTCTTGCGTGATCTGCATAGTGGCAAAGTCAAGCAGATCTGCGTACTTGTCGCTGACGACGAGTGCGTAGCCGACATAAGGTCAGCAACAGTGTTCACTGAGAACGAGAGAGTTCTTAGTAGTTCATCGATGGACGAGAGCGTCCTCGATGAAAAGACACGAGTTGAGCGATATGACTTCCAATCGTGGGAATCGCTCAAGACAAATCATTTCTACGAAGATTTGGTTGAATTCAAGGATGTATTCTCTGAAACTGTTCCGTGCGAGTTACCGAAGGATAAAGGTATTCGACACGAGGTCGAGCTTAAACCAGGCTCGAAGTACTGTGTCATGAAGCAGTGGCCACTGCCTCGTGAACAAGTACTTGCGATCGACATTGTATGCCAATCTCAAGAAGTGTATATTTGCAGCAAGCAAAATACCACTTCTTGGGTGCATCGTTTGTAAGAACGGCGTACGTCCTGATCCATAAAAGGTCAAGGCGATCACCGACTGGCCTGTGCCAGTTGATGTCAAAGGTCTTCAAAAATTCCTTGGGCTAGCGGCGTATTTGCACAAGCATTCACGCAATTAAGCCGAGATGACTGTGCACCTCTCTCGTTTGTTGAAAAAGAACGAGAGGTGGTTATGGAACGCTGAATGTCAGCGCTCCTTTGATGGTATCAAGCAGAGCTTGATACAATCCCCAGTCCTAGCAATAGCCGATCCGGACAGGCCATTTCATGTGGTCTGTGATGCCAGCGATTTCACAATCGGCTGCGCATTAATGCAGTACGATCTTGAAGGCGTTGAACGCGTCGTCTGTTATCAGTCGCGTCATCTGCAACCAGCTGAGCGGAACTATCCAGTGCATGACAAGGAACTCCTTGCCATGAAGTACGCACTCCCGAAGTTCAGAGTCTATCTATTAGGAGATAGACCCTTCATTGTTTACACTGACCATGCGTCATTACGCACGGCAGTGAACAGCCCGCACCTTTCACAACGAATGGCGCGGTGGTTGTCATTCTTTGCAGAATACAACTTTGCGGTCGAGTACAAACCAGGACGACTTAATGTCGTCGCTGATGCACTCTCACGTCGTCCCGACTTTGAACCAGTCGTGAAACCCAACAGTGAGACAGTCACTGTTGCGGTTATGACGTCCTCAGTCCCATCTACAACGTTGTATGATGACGTGAGGCGGGCATACGCCCAAGATGGTGAGATTGTGAAGTTGTTGAAACATCTCTCACAACCATCTCGAGAATCGTTGAAACGATTGTCGTCTGCGTATCAATCTGCATCAGATCGATACACTACTCGCAACGGGTTACTGTATTATGCAGTCGTTACTGGTGACACACCATGTGTTGTCACTCCAGATGATACTGATCTGCGTTTGCGGATCATGTTCGAGTATCACGATGCTCCTATAGGAGGACATCTTGGCCGGGAGAATACGCATCTCACGGTGAGTCGAGACTTTTACTGGCCCCGCCAGTATCAGTTTGTGCGAAAGTGTGTTCGCGCATGCGAAGTCTGCCAACGAGTGAAGTCAAGTCCTTCACTGCGTGCACCTTTACAGCCTCTACCGGTTCCGGCTGAGTGCTGGGAATCCATCTCAATGGATTTCGTCTTCGGGTTACCCAAAGACGCACGCGGGAATACGGGTATTCTCGTATTTGTTGACAGATTCAGCAAAATGGTACACCTTGTGGCTGTACCCGAGACAATCACGGCTAGTGGCTGTGCTTGTGTCTTTATCGACACCATCTTCCGACTTCATGGGTTGCCCCGTGAACTCGTATCAGACAGAGATCCACGATTCACTGCTGATTTCTGGCGTTCCGTGTTCAAATCACTCGGAACGCGCTTGAAGATTTCTACATCTGATCATCCAGAGTCAGATGGTCAGACGGAACGAGCCAATCGTGTCCTCGAAAGAGATACTTCGAGTATACGTACACTCCTTTAAGAGTTGGAGTGAGTTTTTGCCAATGGTAGAGTTTTCCATTAACAACTCGGTGCATGCGTCCACGACACATACACCGTTTTACGTGAATGGCTTGCGCCATCCGCGTGTACCCACCTTACTCGAGTGTAACTTTGGTTTAAGGGGGGAGGGACTCGCGCGAGCAAAAATCGATTTGGTTCACGCTCATCACGCTTTGTCGATGTGGTCATTGCGTTTGATGCCGATATCGATAACACCGATATCGAAGAAGATGATGCCAGTGAGAGTGCGGAAGCCCTCACTGAAGAAAAGATTGATGTTGCTGCAGTGCACTCACAGTGCACTCACAGCGCACTGAAGCTAACGAGTCATCAGATGAGTTCATACTGGCTCGTGAAACGGTAGTCCGTTTTGTGCAAGACTCCATCGCCGAAGCGGTGGATAAGCAAAAGCAAAATGCTGACAAGAATGGAAGGGCAAATACTCTTTTATTTAATAAAGGTGACTTAGACCTACTGTCTACGGTTAATCTACCAAAGCATGTAGTGACTAACTTGGGTAGCAGTAAACTTCTACCCAAGTACATCGGCCCATTTCGTGTATTGCATTGCCTAGGCAATGCATACACGATCGAAATGCCACGTGAGATGCGAACTCATCCCACGTTTTACGTTGGTCGGCTTAAGCCGTACCATCAGTACGCTGTTTCTTCCAATGAAGAACGCCCTTGCGCTCAAGCATCTCACAGAGAGCCTTGTGCTCCTGATGGTGGATATCAACAAGGGTCTGAAGAGCAGCTCTCCCAGCCCGAGACCGGTCAATATACCCACGAGCTACCCTTAGATCGTCACGCAGAGACGTCAGAGCTCTCTCGTTCTCAAGCTGAGCAAAAGCAAACTCAGCTCGATGCTTCGAGACAGTGTCCTCCAGTTGGAGACGCCTGTCTCGCTCATTTTCGAGATCGTCGCGTAACCCTTGCGTTACGCGATCAAAGAAGCTCTCAGGAACACACCGATCCACATGATCGTGTAGAGAGCGTCTTTCCCTCCTCCTCCACCTCCATTAGAGGACTCTCGCGGTGGCCAGCGCTATCTTGTTAAGAGGCTGTTGAACCACCGCGATGTGAACGGACGTCGGACGAGTTACCTCGTCCTTTGGCGCGGCTATCCCCCGTCCTGGGATACTTGGGATCCCCGCTCCCAACTGATGGATGACGTACTGGGTCTGGTCGAGCAGTACGACGCGGCACATCCTTTGCCGCAGAAGGACCGCCGGAGAAAGTCTTCCCGGCACGGTCGTAAAGGGATTTCAGCTTGTCAATCCCTTCGTACATCTCAGTAGAGATACGTACGCGCCAGCACAGGCTAGTAAGGAGGTAAGCCTGCTTAGGTGCGCGCGCAGAGTTGTTCACACAACAAGGGCACGGATCTCCCCAGGAGAGACAGGGTAACCCACCCTCCTTAGACAGACGATGCAGCTTGTAGCGTGCACCTGTCGGGGTTCGCTTTTCAAACTTATCACGAGCTTTGATAAGTTTGTCGTTCCAAACGTCACGACCTACATCTTCAAGGTTATGGATGTAGGCGTTCCACTCTTGAAGCAGTGAGGGACCATCACGTTTGTGATTCCCACTGTACCATCGATGTCTAAAGAAAGCATCGATGAAGAATTCATTCTCAGCGCGATTGTTTTTCGCACTAGGGTCAAGGTGATGGATCCTTGATGAATCGAACAATCGTGTCGATAGCGATCACTTGTCGTCGCCGAAAAGCGATTTATGACTGACTTTGGGGGCAGCCATGCTTTCTTTTCGGGAGCGAGACGCAACACGCTGCGGTTCCGTTCTTCCTGCGACGTGCCGACAGAAGTACTGGCGCATCGTCGCGAAGTGTTGTCAATAGGAAAACCGACACCACTATGAGCGCCCGAGTCTTGCGATCTCTAGCGCCTTCACTTTGGCGATGGTTCATCTGATTCATCAGATGAACCGAAGATGCTGCGACGAGTAGCATCATCCATGCCACGCTTGGCAGGCGGCTTGGTTTCGACCGCATTCGATATGGATCCCTCTTTCGTATCAGGAGAGTATGAGACACCGAGCTCATACTCTGTGAAGACATGAGTGTCTTCATGACGAGCACCTGCGTCACCAGGTGACACAGGCTGAGTCGCTTCAGCAACCGATGACACATCAGTTGCAGCGGTTTCTGCTTCGGCGTCCGCACAGAGACGTGCGGATGCGCTCTCGGCGGCCTTGCTCGCGCACCGCATGGTCTTGTAAACCATGCGATGAACTGTTGGAAAGTGGACTCGGACCAACAAGTGCAAACCCTGTCCCAAATGATTTGGGACGAGTATCCATTCAGTCAGTCAGTCACTAAAGTGACTGATGGTTAGGGGGGGGGTGATGTAACGGGGTGAATCGTTACATAACAATTTATTAGAAATTGTTAATAGAATATAACGATAAGAGTTATATTCTCAGAATATTGTCATAAGGACAAATATTCTGTAGCACTTACGAGTAGTTCCTAATTGGATGATATAGGCCATTATATCAACCAACGAAGACGCGCCACGACAGACGCACGCAATGAGTGGTGAGCAGATAGTTGATTTACACATTTGTATTTAGACACAGTTAGATGAAGATAAACAGGGGCCTTATTACAGACATTAACTATTATAAATGCAGTTCTACTTTTTACTTTGACCAAGTACTCGCTTTTTCTTACTGTCTTCCTCTGCACGTACCAGTGTACGTGAAGTTCCGAGGCACCGTCTTATTCTGTCGTCAGAATAAGTAGCTTGTACTGTCATCAGTACAAGCTTCAGGATGCCCCGTTACAGTATGGTTCTTGGCCTTCTCCGTCTTAAGATCCTTCTCATCATACCGCTCGCCGGTCATATCGTTCATCTTCTGTTCATTAGAGACATTGTGCTTGACCGGCTTGTAAAGTGCCAAACACACCCGTCCCACTCGATCAGGATTCCTTTGCTCGTGTAATTCTGCTTACCCATCTTCTTTATTGAGTTCAACACATCGTTTAAGCTCATAGCTCTGTTGTTTCTAACAGTTTGCTCAGTAGATGTTTGCACGGGATGGTGTTTTTGGAACTGATTATTACATACACCTGCGCACTTGACTATTCCTAGTGCACACTACTACTCGTGCAGGTGCTGTACATGGTCCCACATCTTTTCGCTTACGCACGCTTCTAGACCAATCAACTATGTTGTCATTCAGACCCTGTCGCAACTCAGCCACGACGATTTGGCAACTGTGTTCTCATTCAGACCCTGTCGCATCTCCCCCGCCAGGATCTGGCAACGTCGCACAGACCCTGTAGCTGCGCACCATTCCTTTTGGAAACTGCCCTGTTGCCGACCTGCATTTACAGATCACAACATGATCACCTGGTGCCACCCCATTTGAGTGCCACCACCTTTCACCAGGTGACACACGTCATTATTGCAGCAACCATTACAGCAGTTAACGAAGAATGATTTAAATGGTGACCTGGCACGTTCTTAAAAATGATAGAAAGGACAAACGTTATCCTTGCCTCTGCAATGGTATGACACAAATTGTCCTCGAACGGAGGTCACGACGACCGCGGCGAAGATGACGATGACGATAGCAGTGGCTCTGATAAACATCGTTGTTGCTGTTGGAAGCAGGTGTGCTTGTAGTCCCCAACGTTAAAAGACAAATTGAAGAATGACGATCAACAAAGCAGTGCTCGAGAATCAAGAGCATCGTTTTGATTTTTTTAGGGCCACGTGGAAGCTTCGCTATGAGCGTCCTACTGTGGCAGAAATCTGGCGACAGGATGAAGTCGTCTACAGGACCATAGGATGCATCTTTCCATGTGAACACGACCGGCAAAGAGCGGCAGCCAACTGCAGGTACTACGGACCTTAAATCGCATTATCGATTTCATGTCACGCTAATGGTTAGAACAAGGTTTGTTTCATGGTGGCTATCAAACGACTGACAAGATTGTCGAAGGGTTTGAGTACTACTGTCCGCTCGTTCGCAAAGTGTCACCAGGACATTGGTCATCAATCTGGCGACACCTGTGGACCTCCAAGGTGAGTAGTGTTGAAGAACATGATGACTCGATATGCATTAACGAAGCAGTCCTAACAGAATATATTCACTTCTCATTTAAGTACGAAGTTAACAAACGTGAACGCTCCTCTGCAAGCCACGAGCGTGTCACGACGGCGATGGCGCGAATCGTTTGTAATGTGTCTGTTTGTACACCGATCGGGGAAGAGATCTGGTGCTGAGACCCCGGAGTCCGTCAGACCTACCCTGGTTCTGACTGCCGACAAGCATACACCAGAGTCAGTCCTCAGGTTAATGTACGTACCTGAATGGAATAATTCTATTCTTGGAGACCAACACCATTCTTCTAACAGGGTGAGCGTGTTACATTTAAATTATTTCAATACTCGTTTATTCGAATATTGTCATGAATGTTGATACTGTTCATGAATTTTACCTTAGGGGTCATACTCAGAAGCACTCACGTATTGACTGATACGGGCCACCACATCAGTCAGCTCTTGAGGTCCAATCAGCGATGCACGCGCGCAATGAGTGGTGAGCAGAGTCTAGCATACATTTAGGTAGATAAATGTTTTAAAGTTGGGACTTAACACAGGATAATGACTAGGACTTAATTATATTTGATGCAGTTTTACGTTCCACTTCTATTGACCGCGGCATTCAATAGCTAGACTTCTTCTGCACGTACGGTGTACATGAAGTGACATCCGGAGCTAACTTAAATTGTGTCAGCATAAGTTGACTTGTATAGTGTCAGTACAAATCACCAGTGCCCCGCTACAACGTTAGTATATTGTAGAACGAGTATGGAAGTTTTCGATACTGTACTGAGGAGGCAATGAGGTGTCACGGTAGAAAATGAAAAGCAAGGAAGTGTGTAGAGTCACATGACGCACTCGTTTCGTGTGGTAGTTGATTGCTCAAGAAATGCCGCTGTATACTAGTTTGTGTCGAAAGATGAAAAAATAATAAAACGCCTAGGACTAGTGTTCAAAACACCCATGTTTCATGTAGGCTATCCATTTTTCGTTTATTCTACGACAAAAAGGTTACAGATATAGTCCTCGTGTAACGGGGTAGCCCGTTACACGATATTGGCACCAAACGGTACCAATATGGAAATTGTCTAGCGTGACAATTCTTTGCCAATATTACCCGAGGCGGATATTATTTAGGGAATATAATCCCCTTGTAGGATAATATTCACGTGCTGCTTGAAGATTGGTCGAAAAAAGACATATCAACCAAGACTATCACAAATCGCTGCTAGACGCGCGTAATGGGTGGCGAGCAGGTTGTCGTGTGATGACTATGTAGAGTTATACAGTTAGATAAAGACTGAAGTTACATTATTTGCTTAGCTGTAATAAATACAGCACTCTATTTGCCTTTACTAAAACAAGAGGTTTCAGTAGATTTGCCTTCCTCTGCACGTACGAGTCTAAGTGAAGTTTCGTGGCACCCAAGATAAGGGTGCCCCGGCACACCTCGACTTTGCTCGCTTAAAAACCAATGGAGCAATACTGCATGCATCCACAAATTCTCAGTTAATACGCGTGCTATGTTGCCCAAACGTTTGCTATTCTCGTGACTTAAGAAACAGTCGGCTCACGGCGTGGACAAGAGTATGATCTTCGTGATGCGCTATCATCCCCAAGTCGATAGAACTGCAACAATGAGGCGCCACCCGCTCCCATTCCAGCCGACTCGTGTATCGCTACGTATTCGGACTATGTAACGGGTCATGGGTCACTTGTAATGTCAGAGAACAAGCTACTTACATCGAACACTGAACACAGAGTAAGGTGGTCCTCGAGTCTTCACGTACACGCTTCGTGCAGAGGAAGGTATCAAGATGACACAAATAGTGAAGGCTGAATCACATTTAGTACAGTTAATTTCCTTTCTATAAAGTATATTTAGCATTCATTAAACTTCATCTAGATACATTCATTCATTGTAACTATCTGCTCACCACTCATTGCATTCTTCTGTCTTGGCTACGCTTTACTAGTTAATATCATTAATCTACATTGATCGATGAGTATTGTATTACTTCTGCAACAAGATACTGTTTATTTAGCCAATATTGCGAGAACATTCTGTTGGTCCTGACAGAGCATGAAGCTTGATATTTACCTTGTGCATACTTCCATGTAACGGAGGCACCCCGTTACAGTAGAAGCAATCATTAACAACATCATACTACTTTTTCAGTGACTGCTGCTGTCTTATAGTGATTTGCAACTTGATCG